GGATGTTCTACAAATTACCATCCCTGCTCTTGTGGTAACAGATTTAAAGTAAACATTCTCATTTTTATAGGTCCAAGTCATCCCTGAAGTACTTGGGCACTAAAATTACCCCAGATCCCTTGAACCTATTTGGACCTAATTCTAGCCCTCTGCTATTGAAGATTTGTTCTGACCTTCATAAATGGCAATCTTTTGACTCTCACCTGGTTTTGGCATTGTAATGCATTTAAAATGACAACCCTGCACCAAATCCTGTACCTGCTTCAAGCCTTGCCCATACAGCTACCCCAGTCCTATTTTTGCACACCTTTGATTCTGACTTCAGCTTGTTCAGTTAAGCTCTGGCAATACAACGTGGAAGCTGGTTTCTATGCAGAGCTGCACCAGGTTTTGCACTCTCCAGTTTTAGTAAATTACCCATTTATGTGTTTAGCTGTATACACCTTGTCCAAAATAAATACAATTTTAAAAAAATGCAGTGTGTCACTCTTTGGCTGAGCTGCAGCAGTACTCAGACATGATTGGGGACCATTCTTCTGCTTTGTCACATAAGGGAAGGAAAACATTCACCTTACAGACACCTGTAGCTTTATCCATTCAAGCATCCAAAATTGATATTTATTTTTTATTTCAGGTACTTATATAGCACTATCAATTTACACAGCGCTTTACATACACATATTGTACATTCACATCAGTCCCTAACCCTCAGGGGTGTACAATCTAAGGTCCCTAACTTACATTCATACATACACATACTAGGGCCAATTTAGACAGGATTAAATTAACCTACCCGCATGTCTTTGGAGTATGGAAGGAAACCGGAGTACCCGGAGGAAACCCATGCAGGCACAGGGAGAACATGCAAACTCCAGGCAGGTGGTGCCGTGGTTGGGATTCTAATCAACAACCCTAGTACTGCCAGGCAGAAGTGCTAACCATTTAGCCACTGTGCTGCCTGTATCACACACAGATTCTGACATGTATACAAGCAAGGAAATAAAGCTTAATCGGCTTGCAACCCTCCTCTTAGCCTTGTCTTTGGTATGGGAAGTTAATACTAAGCGCATTTCTACCTCCCCTAGATTAAAATGTTGCATGTAATTATTTTTATATTTCCTATATACAGGCAGCAGGTGGTACGTAAGAGGAGTCATCTACCACTTTGCTGGGAATAGTGTAAACCAATCAATTGCCATTTAGGTCTATTAATAATATAGCCCAATGAGTTGGAGTTTAGTGGCAGACGAGTTTACAGGTAGAAATAAAACATGACGTGTGTTCAGGAGAGGTGCTTTTTGAGCATAAAAAATGCTAAAAAGTTAAAAAATGCACGTTAACGTGCCCTCATGTTAATGTATTTTAATTGTCAGAATTGTGGCTAATAGAATGCATTAATGCCAGATGTGGGAACACGCATTAACGTGCATGTAAAAAACATGGCTTTTCACATGTTTTTGATGCTGAAAACTTCTGTAGAAGGAAAAAACGTTTTTGAGCTTCATAGTGTGCATGAGGCCTAACTCACATGATTCTGTTTTTATTTTCATGAAGTCAAAAAATGCTGTGCCTCCTTATGAAAGCCCTGCAGTGCTGTGCCACCTTAGTAGAAAACCTAAAACATTTTACAAATGCAGTGTGAAAACGCACTATATACAATTTTATTTGTGAAAACCGTGAATAATCTTTAAAACTAAAAAAAAATCAATTTTATAAACTTGTAAAAAAAATTTTTTATATTTGAACAAAAAAAATATAAATATAACCTAAAAGTAGCTGTAGTGCCACAAATCATTTCCGTGTTCTCCTAGTTAAAGAACAGGAGCTTTGTGTGAATGTCAGGGAAAATACAGTACTATTCGCCGCAAGTGTTTTCAAATGTCTGTGCAAATTACCATCCTTGACAGCTTCTCCCGTGGCCATATTTCTCCTTCCCAGTACCACACTGTGAAGCAGGAAATAAGGGCACTTTCCCCCTGCAAACCTTTCACCACTTTTCCTGTTAAATCTGTATTCCTAGAAGATTAGAAGAATCAATCATCAGCTCTTATTGTGATTTAGAGTACCAAACATGCAGTTATCTGAAATGTGCTCTAGTGACATAATGGTACACAATCTTAGAGTGGTTCCTTTTATATCCCCAAACAAAGAATAGTGGCATTAAATCCAATTTGTATGACTTCAACACTGATTGTTACACTGTAAGTTTTTTGTTTTTTTTTTTTTTTTTTTTTTTTTTTTCCCCCCTACTAAATACAGACTCAACTCTAAATTATACTGTATGCAGGGTTACATATATGTGTGCGCAATAAAAAAAAAAAATAATATATATATATAATATATATATTTTCTTTTCCTTCGTCACGGGGCAATGGAAATAAATTTAGCTACGTGTTTCCAGTAAAACCAGATACCCAATTTTATTTTTAGCTTTTATAGTATGTTTAACCTTATCTCGAAATGATTGGTGGCAGAAGCATTTAAACTATCCTGCATACACATATCGGCAGCTGTAGGCAATAGAATCAGTAGCAGAGCTGTCAGCAATAGTGACTGCATGGAAATAATGTTATGGAAGGCATTTCCCATAGGAAACAGTACACTTCTTTTATCATTTTATCTAGAAATATGAAAAAAAGAAGTTTTGTCTCCCTTAGACAACAGTTTTCACTGGACACTTTTTATGCTTCAAGGCAATGCAGACCCACAAAGAGTCAGGCTTCACTTTTTGGCAATTTTAGAGTCCGAATAGTTAAATCATTCATTCTACCCAAATTGGATATTTCAGTTTCTGGTAAATCTATCTGTGCGTGATGAGATCTCTGGCCTTCCTCTGCATTCCGAGTTCCCAGGATTCCCCCTACTTCCCTGATTTTTAAAATTTCAGTCTCATGGGTTTTCCCAGGTATTTCATTTAATATAGTGGAACTAAACTCTCTCAATCAACATTAAAGTGGTTGTAAACCTTAGACATGAAATATGATGTGATGTTGTCTCAATTAAGAGCACAAAGTGTCATTTGTCTGCTGCTTTGTTCCTCCTAAATGAGTCGCGTCTGACAAGTTTTCCTGACACAAAGAGAAAAAAAGTTGACAGTGGAGGGATAGCCTCAGCTCCTTTCCTGTGTGCTGTGAGAAGGGGTGTGTGTCTCCAATCATCTCTGAGAGCTCTTCTCACTGAGCTCTGCAGTGTGTAATTTCAGCTCTCCGCCCTGTTTTCTGAAAGCTCAGACAAGCTTTATAAATTCTGGACTTTGAACTGAGGTATAGAAAGGTCTGCAGATAGACAGGTACAATTTTACGTAAGAGGATTTTTCATCTGTGTGTGTGTATAACCTGAGGCCAGTCACTATTTTTAATCCTTATGCTCCTAGCATTAGTAAATAGGAAAGTATAGTTACTTGTGTAACAAAAAAAATCCAGCTGCTTCCTGGTTTCTGGCCTAGGCCAAAATTGGCATACATCTTAGGATACTTGATGGGCATTTTTATTTTTTCATCTGGAGGAGGGGCTTTCTCAGCTAAGCACACCATCCTACCTGCATGCCTGAGCTAAGAGTAAATGGATTCCAGGAAGTAAATGCTACATGAATTATCTGCCCTTACTCAAGATGGCCGCAGCTAGCAATGCTAGGAGATGTTTTTATAAAGTGATTTTTCAACAAAATACAAGCACAGAGACATGGATGGATGGGTGAGTTTGCTTTGAATATTAAAATGAATGAAATATAATTTTCAGTTTGTGGTACTCAGATACAGTTTATTTAAAATTTTTAAAAAAGGGAAACCATAACATCTCCTGCTAATGAACTATATATTTTAGAATTTTCTTTAGCATACTTGAATGCAGATTCATGTCTTTCTCTCATTTTTTTTTTTTATACATTTTAGCTTGACCACGTCCTTTTTTTCTCTGGGATTGGGAAAGGTTGCCTTCATTACCCCACCAGATATGACCCAGTGTTGTCATAACCTGTTGTCAATAAGTAGCACCATCTGCAACTCTTTTAGCCCTTTGAAGTGTCTTCTAAACTATCCCACCAACAATGGCTGCACTGATCATGAATGCAAGTGATGTAGGAAGATGAGGGAGTTGGAAAGCTTTTGGTGTCTGCCTCAGACAACCAACTTATGTCACTCCCAGTGTGTAGAACTTCAGAAAGCCCTCACTTTGGAAGTACCTTTTACCCTGATGGGGTTAGGTGAGGCGGCATGTTATGACACTCCCTGGGGGACCATGCCAACAGTAGTTATGGGCACACAAAGCAGGCCCCTGGGAGTAATTTGAGTAAGGCTAGATGCTTCTCATAATGTGGAATTGCCTCTTAAATATGTGCCAGTGCCATCAAACAAAACCAGCACTCTATAGAGAGCACAAAATAATTTGCATTAGTCCCTGCCCCTACTGAACCATTCTCATTAGTCCCTGCCCCTCTGAACCATTCTCATTTGCTTCTGCCCCTGAGAAGCTAACAATCTAATGTCTTCGTCACATAAAAAAACCTCTATTTTTGTTTGAACACCAGTTGACCTACCAGCATGGCTTGGATGTCCTGCTATCTGGCGTAAGGATATTAGAACTTATGTTGGCTGCTCTTTTATTACACATATTTGTTTGAATTGCATCAGAGGTTTGTATTTCCATGTTGTTGTGTTTGTGTTTTTTGTTTTTTTTTTTTTTTTTTTTTTTTTTTTTTTTAATAATAAATCTATTGAACTAGTGAGAGTAAGTTTCTTCTGTTTGACATATAAGATATTTGACTGAGAACAAGCCGTGATGTGGAATGTGTTTTGGTAATATCTACAGAATTAGCGATATTTTGATGAACAGGCAAAAGCCTGCAATTATAATGTCAAAGTATACTTGCAAATTAAGCGAATATATCTCTTACTTTTGTAGTAGAGTATTTAAGGACAATACCTTGTGATATTACAGGTGTCCACATAGTTTGTCAACATGTTACTCCCCATTAATGGTTCTTCCTTGTTTTACTCCATAAAGGTACAGGCCTCCCTAGAAGAGCAGGAATTCAATGAGATATGGGGGCAAAAAGCCAAGCAACTTTTCAATGAGACACATGCAAACTTCAGTGATGGACTCAAGAAAATCATAGATTCTATCTGGACCTTGGGTGCTTCTAATCTGAATTCATCAGATCGTCTAGAGGTGAGTGCTAATTTCCTCCTGTTGTGAAAGACAGACATCCAAGTAACCTCCCTATACTAGTTTCTAGTTGCATCTCTGTTGTACAATGACTGTTTAAAATATGTTTTTTTTTTTCATACAGCATGTACATATATTAGTGCAAGAACACTACATATTTTGCATTCCTGTTTTATTTTTGTGAGTTTTTAAACATGGTATTAGAACAAAAGATCCAGGAAATGGATATTATTGGCACAGCAAGGCACACAGTCATAAAAAGCTTAGAAGCTCCAAATTCTGAGTTGGGTTTTGAACCAACATTGGGGGAAAATTGGAGCACTCAGAATCTGGTGCAGCTGTGCATGGTAGTCAACCAGCCTCATAGTTGAGCTTGTTCAGTTAAGCTTTGACATTTAAAACCTGGGTGCTGATTGGTTTCTATGCAGAGCTGCACCAGATTTTGCACTTTCCTGTTTTAGTAAATAACCCCATTGTCTAATAGCAAGCTGCTAGTGGCGCTCTCCCATGGTTGCATTTTTCAGGATGCTTCCATCGTGTTCAAGGAGGCCCAAAAAGATTCTCAAGCAGCTCCTGGGTTTCCAAGAGACAGTGCACCTCACAATGCAATGTAGGTGTATTTCCAACCAATTGAAATTAGCATTGTGTTGTAGTATGAAATATGGCAGCACACATAGGATGTGCCAAAGTTTGTCTATCTGTGATGTCAAAACTCTTATTGGATGGCTTAGGGCTCCTGGGATCCAGTGGAGACATTTAAAGATCTGCAGGCATGGGTGGCACCAGCTAACAATAGATGAGCTTAATTCAGTGCCTAGTAGGTACAGGTATGCATACAGTAGTCTTTGTTCCTGGCTTACCTGTAGGTCAGTACTGATTGTCTGTCACAGAATTTTGTTTTCATTGCCTAGAACACATCATTGTACCTAGTTCATATTTTGCTAAGGAGCTCTTAATAGAAAATGAACTCAAAATTAATTTCCGCACCTGTGTTTTCACAGTATTGCAGTTTAACAAGTATTTCAACCATCATGAGTGACTTAAGAAGCTATCCTATAACATTTAAATATTGATAAACTGGCAAAATTACCATCACCGGGGCTTTCTTAAAAACGTATCTATCTTTTGGGTCACAAATTTAAGACCAAAAACCTCCTTCCCTCCATGTAGTTATATATAATTAGAATTGGTGACCTACTATTTTCCTGGGGAAAAAAACAGTACATGGTCAATAAGTAGGCTGTTCATGACGCAGTGTCCATTGTATGCCTGTGATATAAAATACAAGTCCTATGGCAGTACATGTTGTAAAGGAAATTGTGCATTCTTCTTTCTTCCACTCACACAGCCCTCCTCCCTCTTCTCCTGCATCCCTGTTATGGGGATTGTTGCCTGTACTGACCTTGAACAGGCCATAAGGAGCTGGCGATGGATGTAGAGAAATGTCAGGGATTGTTGGAGCTCTTCAGATGGAAGGCGATTCAAGCATTTAATGAGTTCAAACACCCGGCAACTGCACACTGGATCCTTGAAAGAAAGGAAAAGATTGCAGCCAGCCGGCACGCAAGAAAAGCTGCATACACACACATTCTGTGCTTGCTACATACAGCCAAATTACCATAGGGCAATGGGGCTGATTTACTAAAGGAGTAGAGGTTGTTTCCTTAGCAGAGTGTTCACTTTACAATGTATATATTCACCTAACTTGGTAAATAAGTTGAAGCTGTGTTCACTTTGAATACTCACTAATATACAAGGGAAATAATAAAAAAATGAAAAGGGATTTTACATGCTCACGATTTGATGATTGAATTGAACACAACTTCACCTCTTTTGCTAAGATGAATCTTCACCTTTCAAAGTGAACACAGTCCAAAAAATTAAACTTGCTGTGCTGTAGCCTGTAGCAGCCAGAGTTCATTTCACACTGATCTGCCTTGAACTGAAGCCTGTGAGCAATTGCTTATTCTGTCTAGATTGCCACATAATAAGAATTGGTCCCACCTGGCCCATTGCCACATTATAATAAGAATGGGTCCCACCTAATACAAAAGAAGATAAATATTTTAGTGCTAGTTATTAGAAAGTGAATTCTGATGCCTAGAGAGGAGCAAATCAGTTTGTAAATGGTAAAGTTGAGGAAAGTGGAAAAAGCACTAGACCCGTAGGGTTATTTTACTGGTATGTTTATCTTAAGGCAGTGGTCTCCAAACTGCGGCCTTGGGGACTCTATTTCATCCACTGATTCCAGCAATGAGGCACATATCCTCCCAATGACACCAACGATAGGGCACAATTTCTCCCTATAACCAACAATGGGGCCCACTGACACCAATAATGGGGCTCAATTCCTTCGAATGACACCAACAATGGGGCCCAATGACAACAATGATGGGGCACAATTCCTCCCAGACACACCAATTCCTCCCACAGACACCACTGGACATTATTTTTTCCCACTGACATCGGAACATTTTCTACTCCCAATGGCCACAGTCCGGCCCCCGTACAGTCTGAAAGACAGTAAACTGGCCCTTTGTCTAGAAAGTTTGGAGACCCCTGTCTTAAGGTATTATTGTTGGTTTAAATGATCTGGTTCCTGGATAGGCAGTTTCTACACCCCAGAGGATCTCAAGTCTACTTGGCTTGTAGTGTGATGTAAAATGAGTTGAAAGTGAGGCACCACACCAGTGCTAAGAGGTCCAGATACAACTTTATTCCATTGAAGGTCAAGGGTACAATTCAAAACATAGCCACACTATGCATTTAAATCACACTGGAAAGAAAATACCATCGTAGGTTCAGTTCTAGTTTTTTCACTTTGTCGCCAATCAAGCCCTGATGAAGGGGGCACTTAGACCCCCAAACACATTGGCTACGTTTTGAATTGTACTCCTGACCTTTTACTGAAATAAAGTTGTATCTGGACCGCTTAGCAGTGGTGTGGTGCTTCAGTTACAACACTTTGTAAATAGTAATGGACTGAGAGTGGCTTTACTTGCATTCCCTGGAAAAGATCACTCTATCCAAATCTAGGTTCACACAGCCTGTAAAGTAATTGCTGGTGTAGAAATGAGGAAACGTATGCTGAATGCACAAATTTCACTTCCCATACATGAATGGGAATTCATGAATGATCCCTGTGCTTTGCCCAGGATTTTCTTTATCTCTATAGACATCTTATGGTTTAATGTGAAAGTACCCAAGTTGCCCATAGCAATCAGATTCAAATGAGATTTTGCTAGTCAGCCAAAGAATAATACCCAGTTGCTAAAAGGAACTGTTTTAGTTCCAGATTTAGTATATCTGCCCCATTGTGTAATGGAATATTGTGTTCTTTCACTGCCTTATTTTCATTCAACCAGTTTGACACTAGAATGTACTATTCTCCACCTTTTCAAAATTTGTATCCTTTCAAAATATGGGCAAAGTATGGCTCATATCCATTATCCTTTCAGGATACTTTCTATGCAGCTAAGGTTTCATTGTTCCATACCCAACAGTATTAGAAAATCTCATGAGCCAAAGATGAATTGGTGAAAATAGTGGAATTTTGCTTGAAAAATGTAAAGCAGTTACATTTGTAAAATACCTCCCACTTCACAAAGTAGGAGTATAATGTTTAAATAGTTTAAGTACCTTGTCATTTTAAATGATTGTCCTTATCTTACTATGTCACATAGTTCAAACTGTCTCTTGTATCTAATTTTCAGTTAATATGCAACAGAAATGATATCACTAAACTGTTCTGCCATATTTTTCTAATGAGAGGTTTTGATAGAGAGATATTAAATTATGAGGCAGATGACACACGAAATTCTTGTAAAAGTGATGTTAAACAAGGGGAATTGGTAAAAGTGCCAAAATTATTGAAGCCTTATGCCAGAATTCCCGTTAGTAACTTATATGTAGTTTTTGTATTTTTCGATAGACAATTGCCCAGATTTTACTTAAAGGCCAACTCTGCTTTCCATTTTTAAATTACCTAAATTTCAGGTGCATCCAACCAAAAGGTGTGCAACATCTTACAGTTAATTTTCTTTAGGAAGCTGCCACAAGTAGAAAAGCCTGTCATTTGCCAGTTTATTGCAAACAAGGACCGATGCTCTTGGTGTGGAAGAAGTGATCTCTCTGCAGAGGTCCAACATGCGGCCCCAGTTGAGTAATAGCTAAAAGCTCCAATGAGCAGCAAGTATGAGATTTACTGATTGGATGGCTGCAGCACTTATTCAGCAAGGGGTGTGTTGGACCTCTGCAGAGAGTCCACTGCTTTCACAAATAGAGCTGAATGCCCTTCAATGAAGAATGTTGCAGGGTTTACTTTACCTAGAATGTGGATGCTTTCTAAAGAAAATAAATTATAACTGAAAGCTTAAATGGAATTTGAAATGTAAAGTTTGACACTGCATTGGCTTAAAACAAAGGTTTAGGAGACACTGACTCTCATGGCAGAGCCATATGTAACTGTACTAGAGCGAATCTCCATCAGAGCTTTCCAACAGTTTTACAGTACATCGGCATGTAAATCCTTTTTGCAAACCATTAACTCCCCATAACTTAACATGCAGAGAGAGGAGACACATCACATTAACAGAGTTGGTGTTCTGCTTTAAAAGTCATTAATGGCAATTCTTTAGGTAATGGGAGAGAAGAGTTAATGATGACACTTTATTTCTCACCTCATATCATATTTTGCACATAAGCTCTTATGGGAAATGTGCTTTCCCTATAAGTCCAGAGGTAAATCTGCACTACAAAAAAACAGATCCCTGCAGCAGCAAAAGAAGTTTGCGTTCTCATATGCACCCCCATCCCTATATCCAACTGTCACATCTAGGGGAGAAACAAGTCAGTCTTCCACAGCATGCTGGGAAAAAAAAACTTGTTACCCCAAATAAACACTACAATCGAAGAAGAACTTCTAGGCCAGAGGTTGCCAAACCTTTCAAACAAAGGTCCAGATTATTGTTCTTCAGACATTAGGGGGGTTGGATTGTGGCCAATGGGGATAGAAAATGTCCCGGGCCCAGCATCAGTGAGAATAAACATGGCCTCAGGGTTGGTGGTCAGTAGTAGTGCGCTATCATTGGTATTACTGGGAGGAATATTGCCACATCATTAGTGTCAGTGGCAGGCAATATGCCCCACTGTTGGTGTCCAGTGGGAGGAATAGTGCCTCATATCATTGGAAGGAAACGTGCTGTAGGAGCTGTCAGGTCGCAGTTTGGAGACCACTGTTCTAAGCCATTATGTCTAGGTGTGGGAGTTTACTCCCTTGATTTCTCTGTAACACAGAATAATCAGGGGAGAGCAGATGCCAGAGAGAATTGCACCTGCATTTGATTAAGGAACGAATACTGGGGGGCGGGATTGACAACCAATATAGCCAGAGTTTGATTTAACCTACAGCACCCATTCAACCTCTATTCCACTGCACTTTGCAAGACCTAGTAGTCACTAACAGTTACTAGCTTCTCTATTGGACTGTTTGGTCTTTTTTTTTTCATTGTGAAAATGTAAACAGGTTTTGCTTGGCTTTTCCAAATATATTCGTTTGATTTTTATAAATGCTCTTTTGCACAGTACAACACTATCCTCAGCGATATGGACCGAATCTATTCAACATCCAAAGTGTGCCCTCCTAGCCAAACCACAGACTGCTGGTCACTTGAACCAGGTATGCATTGTTTGACACTTCTAATGATACTGAGGAATAGCAGAGTATGGGAACTTGGTGCGAAATGAAATGCTTGCTTTAAAGGAAACCTTCCATGAGGGAAACCTAGAAGCTGACACTACTGACCTCTTTAAAAAAACAAACAAAAAAAAAAAAAAAACTCCAGAGTCCTTTTTGCATTTAACCTATGGGCCTGTTAAAGTGATTGTAAAACAACTCATTCAGTTTAAAATAGAAATGAAAGACAACTCATTCAGTTTAAAATAGAAATGAAAGACAAAACATATGTGTATACATAATAAAAAAAAAAAAAAAAAGGTATTTATAATGTTTTTATAAGTGATTACATACTCTTTTCTCTGCTGCATAAGAGCTGTGGCAGGAGAATAGGCAGCACACTGATCTTCCCAGTGATTAGCTGTGCAGGAAGGGGTGTGTCAGGACAAGTCTGATCATTGGAGGAGAGCAGGCTGAGTTCCCAGCACAGCTAGAGAACTGACCATGCTGTGCTCTCATGCCTACTGTAGTCACTTTTTAATAGGAAAGCAGAGGGACTGGCAGGAACACCAGGGATTTCACACAAAGGAAGCAATACAAAGAGAACAAGATACTTTTTTTTCATACAAGTACATTGTTCAGCAGTCACATATCAGGAATATGAAATGTTGGGTTTACATATCTTTGTTCTGTAATTACTTTATTACTTATAATGCTGACTTTTTTTTTTTTTTTTTTTTTTTGAAGGGGGGGTTACAAAGCTTTATGTTGGTATTGTCTTTCAATACTTATTTGATGTCTACATTTTTAAAGGCAAAATGAGTTAAAAAAAATATATTGCAGATTTGCATCTGCCTCTTTTCTGAGTAAACTATAAGCACATTTCTTACCTACAGTAAATGGGAGTCTTTAATAATGAGAAATATGCAGAAGAATCTGTAGAGAGAGAGTGCTGCAGTTCTGCTGTTTTCAAATGGCTCCAAATATAAAAGTAGAAATACAGATTTTTACAGCCCAGCAAACAAGAGCTAGAACTTGTTGGGAAAAAAAGCCTGAAAAAGTTTGCAATAGATTTATAATAAAGAAAAGCTTTTAACTTTTTAGATGGCTTGTGTTCTAATTTCCACAGTTAGGGACAACTTGGCTATAACATGTTCACCAATATGTTAACTGTAGAAGTGCGTACCAGTATAGTGGTCAAATCTAAATGTAAATTGACCTAAAATAACCACTTTTGTTTTTCCTTTTCATCGTTCCCCCTGCCTTTCCATTTATGTAAGTGATGCCTTTTAACTGCTGTTAATATTTACTTAATTAAAAAAAGAGCTTAAAACGAAAACTCCCATGATCCCTCCATGCTCTCGGGCTCAGGAGCATGTTTAAATGAAGGCTGAATGGTAATCCTGCATAAAGATGGGAAAAATTAAGTTTTTTAACTCATAAGTACCCAATATATCGTGTATAGAAATTTACATTGCCTACTCTTTTTGTCCCTCCAACAGAAGTCAATCAAACAATTGACTTCTATTGAGCTTGGATAGCCACACACTAATCGGAATACAGCCGGTCCCTGCTGAATGACTTTACGTAAGTGGCTAACAAATTAAAGCCTAACTCCAGCTAACCCTTTTAAAACCGTTGAAGAAACTGTTTTGTTTTTTTTTTTTTTTGTTGTTTTGAGAATAAAAAAAAAAGGTTTTTAACTAAATGAATAAAAGATGACAATTTGTCTTTTTACATTTCTGAACTTCTCTTTTAACACTGACAGGGGTGCTTACAAACTGTCATATCCACCTAGATGGATGCAGCATTGCTCCAATGCTGCGTCTGTCCCCCGTCGACTCAAAGACCAAGAGCCGAACGATCAAAGACCGCTGGTCACACAGTTGAGTTGTCTCAACCCCTCTAACTTCCACAGCTTGATCTGTTGAATTAACCTTTTCACGCCGACTATACCGTACGCGTATATGCGGCCGCTTGGTGGGGGGGCCTTAACGCATAGTGATGCATATCTGCGTCACTGTTAAAATAACGTACCATGCAGATGGCATGCTCCCTGCGTGCTCCCAGCACAGTAGTTGGTGGGGACTGGTAAGCCCCCTATGCACACTTGCAAACGGGAACTTTCCAATAATGTTACTGCTGTGACAGCCAATCACAGCAGTTACATGACCCGAATGCCCGCCTCCACCTTTCGACTTTTAAAGCTCTTAAAGGGCCAGGAATCAAGTCAACTTGAAGTTGTTAAATTAGAAAAAATAACAGCAGGATCAACATGGGGAAAAAAAAAATTTTTTTCCAGGAAGGACTCAGAAAAATAGACTGTTGTATTAATACTAGTGACAGACTGCCTTATATATATCAGGGGTCTCCAAATTTCTAAACAAAGGGCTAATTTACTGCCCTTCAGACTTAAGGGGGGCTGGATTGTGGCCATTGAGAGTAGAAAAGGTCCTGACGTCAGTGGGAGGAATCATGCCCTACCATTGGAGTCATTGGGAGGAATTGTGCCCCATCCTTGGTGTCAGTGGGAGGGGGATTATGCCCCATTGTTGGTATCTGTGGATGAAAATAGTGCCCTAAGGACCGCATCTGGAGACCACTGATATATATCATTATGGTTTTGCCTTTAGCACCACACTCTCTTACAAAATCTGAAAATATGTCTCCATATTGGAATGCAAAGTTTTAACATTATGGTGTATGTAAAGAATCCTTTTTTTTTTTTTTTCTATAGTGATAAATGATTTTACTTACTTATTTTAGAACTTACTGAGATCATGGCAACTTCACGCAGCTACAAGAAACTACTGTATGCCTGGGAAGGCTGGCATAACTCTGCAGGAATACCTCTACGAAGCAAATATGAACAGTTTGTACAGCTCAGTAACAAGGCTTACAGACTGGATGGTAAGCAATAACTGAGTGTAGTGAGTGTTATTGCACCATCTGTAATTATCTGGATGCTAGTGGTTTTATTTAAACTATAAAAAACTGTTTTTAGATTAAATTATTAGTGCACAAGTTCTTTTCTTTTCTTTTTTTTTTTTTTCCCGTTTTCTTCTCTCTCCTTACTACAGATCGCTAAAGTAGGAGTCTTCTTCAGCACCTGGCTATGCTCTAACTAAAATGTCAAATTCCCAGGCATCCTCTGCGATTCTGGAAGTGACATCACACCTGAAAAAGTTGCAGAGGATGCCTAGGAAGGAATTAGAACAGTTGAAGCCTTGCTGGAAACTAGAGAATCTGTTTCCCATGTTATTCATTAGTGAATATTCATACTACAGATGGTAGTCTTTCTGGTGACACAGCAGTAGCACATGGTACTCTGTTTACTCATTCTAAAACTTTTGAGTCTCTTCCAGCAAGGCATTTCACTATAAAGACTCATCCACACTGAACGTTTTCTTTAAGAAGCCTCTTCTTGGCAGTAGAGTTTTGACCAAAAAAAGCCTGACGCTTGTAAAAGTGTGTAACGTGTTTAGCAACATTTACCAGCATCAAGCATTTGGACATTAATTCATTTAATTGGCCAGAATAGTTTATTCAGGCCATTGAAATAAATGAACGCTTGAGCGCTAAAAATGCCTAGTGTTACTGTGCATTTAAAAGTCTGTGTGCGTGAACACATAGGATAACATGTAGGGGAGTTCAGAGGCAGGAGAAAAAAAACACCAGATGCCCCTAGGGGCAGCTATAAAAATGTCCAGTGTGCATGAGGCTTGAACTGATTTGAGGAAACTGTGTTATGCATAAAATGTATATTCCTTTTTATAATGCACTGACGTATGGCATTGACCCATCTCTACCTACATGAGTAAATACAGTAAAGCTCGCCACCCGGTGCTCATATTCAACAAGAAATGGACAACACTCGAGCCATGGATGGCTTTGTCAGCATCGTCCAGCTTAGCAAACTTTGATTGAAAAATCAAAGGAACTGAGTGAAAAAATGTTGGCTGAACAGTGACTGCTGCCTGGTGCAGTAACTGTTTGGAGTATTCAAGTAGCCATGGCTGCTGCGGCTGCCTGGATACATTAGTTGGCAGCAGGGATTTCACTCTCTGTGCTGTTCAGTGTGCATGGAGGAATCTATTAGATTTCTCTAGAGATCTATGGATGTAGGACTAGCCCTACTGTGATCTTATATAGCCAAAAGCTTGGATAATTCTGGCTACGAATTTATAAACTCACACGCATGCACCTGCAAACGCACTGCTTTTATACCACTGCACAATGAGCAGGGGCATGCTCTTGTTTGTCACTTCAGTGATTCCTTACCCTGATCTTGCATACGTTGTTTTTTCTGTTACATTTTATGTCTTTTATGACTTAACACCCTATCTGTACTCTTGCATTTTGTCCTTGCTACATTCCATTCTCCAGCCTGGTAATTGTTTGTCAGAGCTAACCTGTTTATCATTTATCTGTGTGTACTTTGGTCCATTCCTATTGCACTAGCAGTGCGATGATGAGGAGTATGTGCTGTTGTTAACATTACAGAATGGTTGCCTCTTACAAAATAATATCCATACTGTATTGGTATTAAACTTTCTTTTAACAAGTTAACATAATCTATGCTTCCACTGATGCAACAAGAATAGAACTATTTCACACCTTTCATAGCTACAAAGAGGCTATGGGTAGTGATAGAAGTTGCTAATTCTTCTACGTCATTAATTAAAACAAGGGTTTCAAACTCCATTTCATTGCAGGCCGCATCATCAGCATTGTGGTTGCCCTAAAAGGGTTGGCTGTATCTGTAAGATTAGATGCTGAGACAAGAGGAGGCAGAGATAAGGGGGTTCTGCATCCTCCATAGAGGGGAGCAGGGTCTGTAGGAGTTGTTCTGTCCTCCTCTCTGCTGTCGGCTACTGAGACCGGGGAGGGATGATCAGAGAAAAGACTCTCTGTGACTGCATGGAAAAGTGTACAATCTAGCAGAAGAAATATGTCGTCCTCTCTGCTGTGGACTGCTAAAACAAGGTCGGGGTGGAGACGGGGGTCACGCAGCTACACCACAGGTGCGAGTGCCACGTGAAATGGCCTGGCAGGCCGAATTTGGCCAGTGGGCCTTGTATTTGACACGTGGATTAGAACCAAAATGATAGACATTAGGTTTGGCTTAGCTAAAAATGTTCTAGTGCAAGAAAATTCTTGTAAAAAAGAGAAAATATACAAATGGAGCATAGGTTTCCCTCTTCTGATAACATGGCCACCTAAAGAGGACTTTAGCTGTGGAAACGGTGTCCTCAAAAGGTAATGAGGGGAAAGAACTAGTTACCAGTATGTGCTATAGTCTGCTACACCTGATGGTTTTCTACATTACTGAATTACCCTGTTTGGTCTATACTGTGTCTCTATATAGAGGCTGCCATCTTGGTACAGGCAGGGCTTTACTTCCTCATGTTAGACTTGCTCCTAGATGACTGGTGATCTAATTACTGGTGGGTGAAAACTCAATCAGCAGGAGAGATGGAGGAAGCACAGATCCACAGAATAAATGAAGTAGAAGCAGGGATATGCGTGTGTTGCAGGTTCTTGGGTACAGATTCCTGTCCAGCAAGCAGCTGCCAGCGACAGTACCTTAGATGATCTTTCTCTGTAGATATACAGCTATGAGGCTAGCCATTCTCACATACAAGATGCTTTGCTATTTTTCAGAAGGGATACAACACAAAAGGTAAATCTTTCAGGATCTGGTATATGCACAATTAACATTGATAGATGTTCCTTACAACATCCCTCATCTTTATTATTTTAGTTCAGGTCTACTTTAAGGGAACGTGTAGTGAAATTGTACATATTTTATTATGGCCAGGGTTAAATAGTATACATTGTGTGCATTCTTCTTGTAAGCCTACAGGTAGAGCTTTAGTCTCCTTTTTCCAATGTTTTTCAAGAACTGTTTAGCCCCTCTGTTGGAAAAAAAATGTTCATAGAACCCATTAGATCAAGAGGAAACTTGCACATGCAAGTGAATGAGTGGAAGCTATAATTTGTCCTTTATCAGATATTGAAGTCAAATAGAGATTAAAAAAAAAAAAAAAAAATCGAAAACCGTTTATGTACTTCTAAACTTGAAAATAAAATTGACCTCAAACTATTGAAGTTTTTGCTTTAAATGATAGAAAAAACCCGGTATCAGCCTTTGTTTATATCCTTTATCTCCATGTATTTTTAACTCGGGGTTGCCAACCATCAATACAATTTTTGGACATTTTGTAAAGATCAAATTTTAAAACTGTCTGTAAATATCAGGGGCTGATAATTTGTCATGCTGTGTTGACTTTTGGAAGTGTAAATCAGTCAATTCCTTGTTATGGGTATTGTCAGTGTTTCTCTATTGTGTTTATACTATTTAAATATTGATTGTTAGTCTGTTAATGTCATTTTTCAGGTTTTCAGTAAAAAAAAAAAAAAAAAAAAGATGCTCCGTCAGTAAATTTTCCATGTTTTGTCAGTTATTAAATGCTGCAAGAGGTTGGCAAAGCTGTTTTAACTGTGTTTCATAGCTGGCATGTTGTATATTTTGTTAATAAATTGCTACTACAAGTGCCAGTAAATGGTTGAGTAAAGATAAAAGATAAGATATTGGATAATGTAAAACTAGATAACGCATCTCTCCATTTTATAATATATGACATAGAATGTCAGATTTTCTGGTTGACTGTTTCCCTCTAGTGGAGCTGGTGTGTAATGCCCTGCTCTTGTAAAAGCAGAATTATAGGCAATTTTTTTCTGGAACCTCACTTGTGAGAAAAGTTGTTGTAAGCTGGATAAAGTAATGTTAGCTCTTTTTTGCTACAGGATTCTCAGACACAGGAGAATGGTGGCGTTCTTGGTACACCTCTAAGACTTTTGAGAATGACCTGGAGACGCTTTATCAGCAACTGGAGCCTCTGTACCTCAATCTCCATGCCTTTGTTCGCAGAAAACTCTATGAGAGATATGGTGAAAAATACGTAAACCTACAAGGCCCAATTCCTGCACATCTATTAGGTGAGTTTACTGACACAAATGAGGACGAATGGATACAAGAGGAGCCAAAGGTTTTTTTAATTTGTTTTTTTTTTTTTTTTTTTCATATTTTCATAACCTAGAGCAAAATATGATGATTGGTATAGCAACCAGATGATGGTTTATTGCTGTTTTTGTACTTAACAAACTTACCCTTTGTGTTATTACTGTGGCACACCACTATATGCCATACAGTCTATAGTGGTGTGCCACAGTAATAACACAGAGGGTTTTGTTAAGGATTTACTCTTGATAGATATCTATACAAGAGTAAATCCTTTCCTTTCAACCTAAAAAAAAAAAAACTTTACCCACTAACTTTTTCCCAAGTGCAGTTGGGATTTTTAGACTTCCCATATTCACGAAAAAAGAAATACTGGGGTTGATTTTCTAAAGGCAAATAAACTGTGCAATCTGCAAGTGCTCCAGAGCTAAGTAAATGAGCAGAAGTTCTGCTGACTTTCACCATCCAATCACATACAAGCAAAAATGCTGTTTGTTTGTTTTTTTTTTTTTTTTTTTTAATCCCTGCATGTGATTGGGTATTCTATGCAAAGTGAAGCTTCACCTCATTTACTGAGCTCTGGAGCAACTGCACTTGCACAGTGCACAGTCTATTTGCCTTTCATAAATCAACCCCATGTTGATGTTTGTATCCCTGTCCTGGTAAAAATGTCACCAAATACAGGAAGCAAGGGAAATTCTTACCAACAAAGCTCTAAATAGCCGTAAGGGAAAACGCAAATATGTAATGGAGCCTAAAGGGTGTATACGCCAATAATAAACTGCTGTTTTATGCTGACTTACCCTAGGCTGTTTTTATGTTTAAACTGTATTGTTATATTGTAAAGCGCTGAGCAAACTGGCGCTGTCCTGGTGTCCATTTCTACAGGTAATATGTGGTCACAAACATGGAATAATATCTATGACATGATGATTCCCTTCCCTGGCAAGACCAATGTGGATGTAACCGACACTATGAGGGAAAAGGTAAACCAGGGATTTTCGGCAAGCAGACTTGGCTAAATTACATGTGTAGGAACTGTATTACACACCACAGGGTTTGTAATTCTGTTTAGCTAGTTCTGTGATCCACACACCTCTGTCACAATGTCATCGCTCTTTCCTAAATGTGAGCCTTATAGATCTCATGTCAGCTTTGTGTCTCCTGGTTGCTCAGTGGGCAGTAAATGAGCATCCTGCTGCTGATTATTCAGTGGCACAGAAAGTTCTATGACTGACTCAGGAAATGGTGAAGGAAAATTTTTCCCTGGCTATGCAGAGCAGCATAAGTTCTACTGCTCATACTGGCACTAAGCCAGCTTTTCTCAACCTTTTCAGCATAGAAGAACCCTTGAAATAACTTCCGGGCTCAGGGAACCCCTGCTATTACTATATCTACAACTCATGATACATTAGTGTGATGGTCATTGGGAAGAATGTTCCTTACACTTGTGGGTATTGGGAGCTTACAAATGGCTATGAAGATCAGTGGTGTCAATGGGAACATATCGAAGAGGCAGAAATTGCTCAAGAAACCCCTAGCAACCTATGGAGGAACCCTGGCTGAGAAACCCTACTCTAGGCAGATTCTCCTCTTTACTCTGAAAGAAGATTTGAGACCGCCTCAAAAAATTTCTTCCTTCAAAGCAATAAACTTTAGAAACCCTGCCTTTTTTATTCTTATATAGAACATAGAAAATACTGAATGAACATTTGCTGATATCTGAAGATAAAATATGTAATGACTTTTTCACACTCTGTATAGGGCTGGAATGCCACCCACATGTTTCGGGTCTCAGAAGAATTCTTCACCTCTCTGGGTCTTTTGGAGATGCCACCAGAATTCTGGCAGAGGTCTATGCTGGAAAAGCCCACAGATGGTCGGGAAGTGGTGTGTCATGCCTCTGCATGGGACTTCTACAACAGGGAAGACTTCAGGTGAGTCAACACCTATAGGAGTGATTGTATATCCAAGGTATTGTCAGGGCAGATGTCAGGTACTGACTGGCAGTGACTCTAGAGATCCACAGGCCAGGGTTCCCCAGGGCGTGGAATCTAAGCCCCAGTCTGCTTATTCACCAGAGCCCCTGATGGTGGGGATGGACTTGGAGCAGGCTGAGACCAGGTCGCAGTCCCTGAGTACACCCAGCTGTGGTAGAGGTAAATGCCAGTGGTATGAAGCGGATCGGAACCTACTGTGAAGAGGCGGAGCAGATCTGGCAGCAGAGGATGGATCTGTGCAGGATGGATGCACAGATGGCACCGTGGAGAGATAGCAAAGTCAGGCAGGCCGGGTCGGTAACAGTGGAGGCAAACGGTACACAGCAGTAATCAGAGGGTAATTGGGTCACAGGCCAAGTTCAGCAGCAGGAGGTCAGATCAGCAGCAGGAGGTCAGATCATCAGGAACAGGCAGAGAGAAGTCAAGACGAGCCAGGGGTCAGGGCAGGAGACGTCAACAGCAATCAGGGTCAGGCTAGGTCGGCAACAAGGCAATCTCAGGAACAGAACAAACAGGAACAAGACCATACGGCAATGTGAGCATTGCAAGAGCTGGTTTAAATAGACCGCCCGGCGCCGACAGGCGCGCCTGGGTCCTAGTGCCTGCCCGGCGCAGTCATTGGTGACAGGCGCGCCTGGGTCCTAGTGCCCGCCTGCCTGTATGTCTTGTCGGGATCCTACGCATGTGCAGATTCGTGCGCCGCGGTGATCTTCTCGTTCTAGAATCTGAATCTCTTTGCACAAATCTAGTTGGCTGCAATAAGTAGTGGGTTTTTTTAGGCCCGAAAAGCTCTTTCACAGCACTGCATCTAACCTGACCACATACAATCACGAGGCAACAAAAAAGAATGTCCCCCTGGTATTTTGAAGGATCACATAATCATGAGTTACAAAAAAAAATATTTATCAGATTGCCCTGGGAGGCCAAGCCCTCAAAGTTATTTACCAGTGTATGAGGCTAGACTTCAGCTGCTACCAAAGCAGGTAAATGTTGGCTGGGTATTTCTAGTGATTGTGGCAGCACCTGCTTTTTCTTCATTAGACTAAAGTTACTGGAGCATAGAACTCCTGGTTATATTTACCTTTTACTTTATATACAGCAATGTTTTACAAGGCTCTCCATGTACCAACAATGGTACATGGAGGCTTGAATTTTTTTAGAATCTAGTTGCAACTAAACATTCTGAAGATTTCCAACAGCAAAAATTTTAATTCCTAGGGGTGTATTAATCTAAATCACTGCAACAAACTTTTCTTCTGTCTAAAGGATCAAGCAGTGTACCACAGTTACCATGGAGCAACTGTTCACTGTCCACCATGAGATGGGACATGTGGAGTATTATCTGCAGTATAAAGACCAGCCAGTCTCGTTCCGCCGAGGAGCTAATCCAGGTTTCCATGAGGCTATAGGAGATGTGTTGTCTCTCTCTGTATCCACCCCAGGACATCTGAAAACGATCGGCTTGCTCACTGAGGTCACAGAAGATCTAGGTGAGTTGTTTTATCACAACCTCCTAATGAAATTGCTGGTGTAAAATAAATTATATATTCTGCTAAGGATTTGATGTATCCTGGACTGTAATTACAAGGTGTGCGAGTGGGGGGGGGGGGGGGCAATTGGTTCTGGGCTGTGGGGTTTGGGGTGACAGCAGAGCTACTGGCCACTCTTTTCTGCTAATCCTTGATGTACTTGTATTGCATGCTTTATAGAGAAAAATGAAATGTTCTATGTTTGCAGCTCTGTATCCTTTTCAGTCATTTTCTTTAAGTTATGTTGGCTTCATTAAAATAAATTAGACACTGTTGTATCAAAATAAACAGTGCTGAAGGTGTTAATTTTAAATATAACCTGACACAGCAACACATGACGCAATGAGACCAAGCAGCTGCATACAGTTCCTAAGTGGAACTTCACGCTCTCAATCAACATTGACTATTTTGAATGCTTATGCTGCTAGCATTAGTAAATAGATAGGAAAGTGTATATTTGCTTGTTTAACTGTGCTTTTTTAAATTTCTTCAGTTAATTCCTGGTTTACATACCTAGGAAAATTTATGTCATACATCCCAGGAGTCTTCAGGAGGGAAGGGGGGGTTTTCTCAGCTAAGCATACCCTTCTGTCTGCATGCCTGAACTAAGGGCAATGGATTCCAGGCAGTAAATGCTTGCATGAATCCGTGCCCTTTCTGAAGATGGCCACTGCCAGAAATGTTAGGGGAGGGGGGGTTCTAAGTTATTTCTCAGCAAAATAAAGCATAGGGACATGGATGGATGGGGGAGTTTGAATATTAAAAATTAATTAAACAGCGCTTTTGGTTTGTAGTGCTCAGATACAGAGCAGTTCCACTTTCAGTGTTCTTACCTGCCTGATCTACTACTTTAATCCCCCAAGCATGCTATGCAAATATAGACGCTCCACAAGTTTATCTTGTTTCTGTGTATTGATCTATATACATTTAAAATGCACTCTTTTATTTTCCTTAGAGAGTGATATTAATTACCTCCTTAAGATGGCTTTGGAGAAGATTGCCTTCTTGCCCTTTGGCTACTTGATTGACCAGTGGAGGTGGAATGTTTTTAATGGGCGAACTCCTCCTAGCCGATACAACTACGACTGGTGGAATCTCAGGTAGAGTTTGGAAGGCAACACAAGAAAAGTGTGCTAATTCACATTGTATGCATTTGGAGGCATGCATCTACACCAGCATAAATTGGGAGCAGTGTCTGTGCAGCTGCTGCATCCCAATAGATGTAGGTGTGCATAGCCTATTGCATTAGGGTGTGCACCCGAAAGCTCAGACGTGTGTGTGTGTGTGTGTGTGTGTGTGTGTGTGTGTGTGTGTGCATTTATACACTATATTGCCTAAGGTATTGAGACTCCTGTTTATACACGCACATGAATTTTAATGGCATCCCATTCTTAGTCTGTAGGGTTCAAAATTAAGTTGGCCCCGCCCTTTGCAGCTATAACCGCTTCAACTCTTCTGGGAAGGCTGTCCACAAGGCTTAGGAGTGTCTATGGGAAGGTTTGACCATTCTTCCAGCAGTGTTTGTGAGGTCAGGCACTGATGTCAGATGAGAAGGCCTGGCTTGCAGTCTCCACTCTAATTCATCATTTTGCATTCATGCTGGAACAGGAAGGGGTCATCCCCAAGGTGTTCCCACAACGTTGGGAGCATGAAATTGTCCAAAGTGTCTTATTATGCTGACGCCTTAGGAGTTCCCTTCACTGGAAATAAGGGACCAGGCCCAACCCCTGAAGGACAACCTCACGCAATAATCCCCCCATCACAAAACTTTACACTTGGCACAATGCAGTCAGGCAAATACAGTTCTCCTGGCAACCACCAAACCCAGACACGTCCATCGGATTGCCAGACAGAGGAGGGTGATTTGTCACTCCAGAGAACACTTCTCCACTGCTCTAGCCCAGTGGCAGCGTGCTTTACACCACTGCATCAGACACTTTGCATTGCACTTGGTGATGTAAGCCTTGGATGCAGCTGCTTGGCAATGGAAATCAATTACATGAAGCTCTTTACGCACTACTGTTGTGCTAATCTGAAGGCCACATGACGTTTGGAGGTCTTTAGCTATTGATTCTGCAGGCAGCGTGCGACTTCTGCACACTGTGTACTTCAGCATGCACTGACCCCAATCTGTCATGTGACGTGGCCTACCACTTTGTGGCTGAGTTTCTGCTGTTCCCAGTTGCTTCCACTTTCTTACAATACCACTAACAGTTGACTGTGAAATATTTAGTAGCAAGGAAATTTCACGGATGCACACGAGGCAACGGTACCACGCTTTAATTCCCTGAGCTCCTGAGAGCGGCCCATTCTTTCACAGATGTTTGTAGAAGCAGTCTGCATGCCTAGCTGCTTGATGTTTGCACCTGTGGCCATGGAGGCGATTGGAACATCTGGACCCAATGATTTGGAGGGGTGTCCCAATATTTATGGTAGCAATATAGTGTTTTATTTATATCTCTCTCACACAGTGTCTCACAGAAGTGAGTACACCCCTCATATTTTTGTAAATGTTTTATTATATCTTTTCATGTGACACTTTACTACAATGTAAGATAGTGAGTGCACAGCTTGTATACCAGTGTAATTTTGCTGTCAACTCAACACACAACCATTGGCAACAAAAGTAAGTACACTCCTAAGTGAAAATGTCCAAATTGGGACCAATTAGCCATTTCCCTCCCCGGTGTCATGTATATAATGTTGTGGGTTTTTTTTAATAAGTGTAAGTAAACATTTTAAAATGTATTAAAACATAAACAGTGTCCAGTAGTTTTTTTTTCGGGAGAATCTTCACCATTTAGGGTGTGCCCAGGCACATCTGGCACACCTTGTGCGCAAGCTTATACCAATAGACCTTAATGGGACTGCCTGCAGGGGAATGCACGGAACACCTGTGCATCCCCGTGTGGGAAAACACATCCCTCGCGAGGGGGTACATATTAATATGCCCATGTGAACAAGATCTAAGTCCAAAATTAAAAACTATCCCTCTACAGTATATAATTGTAGAAAACTGAGCGTTCCACTGTCTTTACCCACCACCTAAAGGACAATCGGGCATATCTAATGACTACTTTTTTTTCTCTTTTCAATAGAACATCATGTTCCAAGATCCTTAATTGTCTCATAGTATTTTCACATGTAGTAGGGGGTATGAACAGCTTGCTAAATAATATGTGAAATTGCAGTTGTAAATTTGATCTTATTTGAATAATTTCCAATTTTTGGAGTAATTAATTTCTTATTTAGAAACCTAGAATCAAGGTTTCCGTTGTATTTTCCATTTGCATTTGAAATTTCCTCAAGGCTTAAATTTATTATTGTACAGGATTTATATAGCACCACAGTTTGTAATATAAAGGGAGACCATAAAATTCCCGTAAAAATACTGTTCAATACAGAAGGATTTAGAGGACCCTGCTCAGGGAGCTTACAACCTACAGGGAGGGGGAGGTGGGGGTTTATATCTTACAATCTGTAATACATTTTACTGAAAATACCATATTCTCGGAATAATTATGTAAAGTATTGAGTTAAGTAAAGTTACATTTCTAATCTGTCAAAAGTAATTATATTTCTGTGGTAAAATGGATCCCTATTGGAATTGTGATAATATGAAACCTATCCTTAAATTGTATATAGATATGAATAGTTTAATGCTTTAGTCCTCTGTCTGTACAAATGGCCAGAGCTGCATATTGGGTATACATTTATTCAGAAGGCATACATATAAATTAATAATTATGATTTGCTTTTAAGTAAAAGAACAGAGTAGTAAAGAGAGAAGGGAAAGTCCGAGAAAGTGCTGGCCTAATAGAAGAGGTGTGGTATAAGGTGAATATGGAACAGATGCATGATAAGCATATGCATCCTGACATACTGATGTCACTTGCATTGACATCCAGAAGATTCTAAATATAAGACCATCAAAGGAGAAGAGACCATTTTTGTGTTTTTTTAGCAACCCAAGCACTGACCACTGGTACAATTTGCACCCATAAGCCAATGCGTCCTCTGTAGTGCTGGCTCCTGTCCCAGGCGGAGGGATACCAAGTGCACTTTGCCTCTAATCCCTTCTAGCAGCCTGGAGAGGGATGCCAGCAGCAGCTGCAAGAGGAAAAGGTCTGTGTATTGAGCAACACATACACTGCACTTTTGCAATGGGCATTTTAGCATAAAAGGGTTAACAACTGCTAGGTTGCTTTCACACTGATCTGTGGGTGCAGTGCACCTGCGGCTTTCCTGCAGGTTAGCTGCACTGAGCCATAGACTTCTATTATATTCTGTGGATTTGGTGTGCTTTCAGAAAGCGCACCAAAACTGCCAAATGCAGGAGTTTTGATGCGCTTTCAGAACATGCACCACACCCGCACGATATAATATAAGTCTATGGCAAAGTGCAGTTAACCCACAAGAAAACAGGAGCGCTTCATTGTGGGTCAACCACAGCACATCAGTGTGAAAGCAGCCTTAAAGGGGGCTCAGGACAGTAAGGGCTTGTTTACATTTGTGGTTTTGGGGAGGGAGGGGGCAATAAAAGGCTATAGTTCATTGTGGCTTTTGACTGGTTACCAAACCACTTAAGTAGCCCACACTCTTCAAAAGGTTGAGTATACCTGGATTAGACACTTTAAATGGCAGCTAAATGCATGTAAATGTGGTTAAAAGCAGGAATATCTAGTGATCTAGGACAGGGGTCTCCAAACTGCAGCCGGGGGGCCAGATGCAGCCCTTTACTTGCCTCAATATGGCCCTTGGGACACTATTCTTCCAAGTGAAACCAATGATGAGGCACTATTCCTCCCACTGACGCACCGCTGGGCCACTGCCTCTCACTGATGCCACCGCTGGACCACTGTTCCTCCCACTGACGCCACTGCTGGGGCACTATTCCTCTTGTTAAAACCAATGATGGGGCAGGGTTTACTCCCACCCAGATATTTTCTACTCTCACTGGCCACAGTCCATCTGCTAAAGCTGAAGGGCAGTAAACTGGTCCTTTGTTTAAAAAGTTTGGAGACCCCTGATCTAGGAGATTTAGAAGTTGTTTAGCTTTTCCAAAAGTGTTGTTGGAATGTGTAAAGTCAGGAATATCAATATGAATCCTTTTGTGTGTTCTATTGTCTGTCATTAATGTGTATTTAGGACGAAGTATCAAGGTATCTGCTCTCCTGTGGCAAGAAACGATGCTGAATTTGACCCTGGTGCAAAATACCACATTCCAGGCAACACCCCATACATCAGGTAAGAATATCTCTCAGTGCTGGCCCATATCATGCATGGAATAACCTGTACTGCCATATCTACATCTCCTATATGCAGATCTGTTTCTACTCTAAGCAAAAGGTACATTTTTAGATTGAAGCAAAATCAATCCTTTAATATTGAAGACACACAGTTTAACATTTTACAAAATGTTATGCACTATTCTCTCTGCATACTACTGTTTCTAGGTATTACTTCAAATGTGCTACTCTAGAAATCAAAAGAACACAAATTCTTACTGTACCTAATTATGAATATTTCTGAATGAAAACCTTGCTGTTAATCTTTGTTCTGTATTTCAGATATTTTGTAAGCTTTGTACTGCAGTTCCAGTTTCACAAGGCACTATGCGCAGCAGCCAAGCACACAGGACCCCTGCACAGATGTGATATTTACAAATCCAAAGAGGCAGGAACACTCCTTGGGTGAGTATGGGATGTGATCATGAAAACAATCATGCCTCTTAACTGTTTAGCCTGGGACTATTTGTTTTTCCATGTCGTTGTTTGAAAACTGGCCAAATCTGAGTGTGAATATCTTGGTTTATCTGTGGAAAGCATTACATTTTTTTGCATTATAGATATAGTGCAGTTAAACCTGACAATGTTGCAATTAAAATGAGACATAGCACACATTCATACTGCCCTCTGTCTTCTGGTTTGCCATGTTCCCAAGCCTGCAGATATGCAGACCAGAGAATCTCCACTTTTCAACTCTGTCAAAAAACATTAGGGAAACAAGAAAGGTATTATGATTAGGCATTCTAACTATGCACACCCCTGATAACAGAAATACATTTCTCATACTTCTGATGCACCTCAGCTGTAGACTCCTAAATTGAGGGATGCACAAAATGGAAAAAATCACCAGTCCAACACATGGGGATGCTTAAAGCCCCATTCAAATTAACTGCAAGGCATCAGAGGTAAAATACATACAACCCAATTCACACCTTAATTCAGAGTAAAGGGTATGAAAAACCCGTCTAGTGGATTATAGAGGAGCTAAAAACTTGAAGCATTAATTGGATACCTGTTTTCACGGTTCTTCCAAAATGTTCAAATCACTTGATATTTGGTGAATATAAGCTTTTCTATATCAGGTATGACTGCAAATGAAATCCTATGTATAAATGCATGAAATGATTGCTACAATAGAAAATGATACATAAATCCTCTTTTGATACATGTTGTTAGGACAGTATTTACTGGTTTTGAAAATCCCTCTTTATGCCTCTCTCTCTGTCTGACCATTATTCTGATGCGTCTGATAAACGTATAATATTGCTTATCACTATTGAGTAATGCCTGCTGCTCTTTCTAGCAATGCCCTTCGTGCAGGTTCTTCTAAATTGTGGCAGGATGTTCTAAAAGAAATGACTGGATCAGACAAAATGGACGTTGGACCTCTGATGGAATACTTTGAGCCAGTCACAAACTGGCTGAAAGAGCAGAACGCTAAAAATAATGAAAGTCTTGGATGGCCAAATTTTGCTTGGAGACCACCCTTGCCTGATGGATATCCTGGGGACATTGGTAAGCTCACATAGCCATTCCTTTTCCAAAAAACACTGTGTAATGAACAACTGTATTGTGGGAATGTACTGATCTGGGGGCTATGCATTGTATACAATCTTGTGTGCACACTTAGACATTTTTAGCTACTTTTGTAGCAGACTTTTTAGCTACTAAGTAAAGAGATGTCTCCATTTTTTGTTTTTCTGGTTTAGTTACATAAGATCTGTGTCACCTGCATGGACATTAGACATTAAATCTATAAGGATGCTGACTAATGAACAGGCAATTGACACATAAACCTACAAAGCTGACATAGAAAATTATTTTGTAATGGCTTAGCTATGCATTGATGCATTGGCGCTTGGCTATGCAGCGTAGCTGAAGTTTTGGACTTATGAGTCTAAAGCATTTCCCCATGTTTTATCCCATTAAAATGCTGCAAATTCAGAAAAGTACTTGTTTGAAAACACCTCAGAGATGCAGTGAGTTCCTCATTTCCTGTAGTGTGCTGATGACACAGTGGGGTTGATTTTATTAAAATTGGAGTATATAAAATCGGGTGCAGCTGTGCATGGTAGCCAACTGTTCAATTAAGCTGTGAGAAGAAATCCTGTAAGCTGACTGGTTTCTATGCAGAGATGCACCAGATTTTGCACTTTCCAGTTTTAGTAAATCAACCCCCAGTGCATTTGCTGCAGTGAAATCCCAAGCTGTGTTGTTAGCCCTGCCTGGTTCTCTTCTGCTGGACTACAAAACTCCCCTTTTTGTTATGGAGAGGAATTGAAGAAATGTAAAGTATCTTTTGACCAGACATACACTTTAATAAATAGTGCATTCCTAGATTCCCATCATTCTATGGATCCTTTATATTTTCTATTTCAGGTGCTACTACACAATACATCCTACAACAGCCATGCCCGCAAAAGCTAGGCCAGTGTAAATAGAAGTCAATTACTATATGTGAAAACTGAGAAATCTACATAAAACCCAGTAGAACACAAAGCAAATATACAAACTTCATGCAAATCTGCTGTTGCTTTAGGGAAATGAACCAGGGATAGTGTTGTATTGTATCATTCTAGCTAATTTATTAGGTTTAGATTACTTGATATTGTGAGGCGAAGTCTACAATATTTTTTACATTATCATATATGTTGTATTTTAATTCCTAGAAAAAAATGCTAATGAAAAGCAGGCAGATGATTACTTAAGTGAGTACAACCGTACAGCAGAACAGGTGTGGAATGATTATACAGAGGCATCATGGACCTATAACACCAACATCACAGAACACAACAACCAAGTCATGGTAAGAAACTGGCCAAACCATTGACATTATATTCCCTTGATAAGGTGGATTATCCTTGGCTATGCCAGCAACAGACACCCCTATCAGCTGACCAAGAAGGAAAGTCCGGCTGGGCAAGTGAAAACATTGGGGTTATTTACTAAAACTGGAGAGTGAAAAATCTGGTGCAGCGCTGCACTGAAACCAATGCAGGTTTTTTGTCAAAGTTTAATTGAACAAGGTGAAGTTAGAAGCTGATTGGACACCGTGCACAGTTGCACCAGATTTTACACACTCCAGGTAAACTCTCCAGTCAGTAAATCAACCCCATTGTCTAATAACTAATACTTTCATGTGAGTTAAACAAGTACTGAGAGCTGTCTGTCTACTCCATCTCCTCCAGACAGTTGGGCAAGCTGTGTTTTTAAACCAGCCATAGACCGTTCCAACCATGTATGGGCAGGCTCAATGTGGACCCAAGTTGATCAATAAATCAGCTTGGGAACAACCAGCCTGCTGGCTTTTACATGCAATTATTGCTAGTGGCTGTTATAGCTGCCAGCAATAATCAGTCTTCTCCTGGTGGAGATGGCTTCCCTGCCGGGAGAACACAATGGCTCCGCTGGAGGGATTTTCCTGTCAGCACCGTCTGTGTTGATGGGGGGGAATTGAGTGACTTTCTTTCCTGCAACCCATGGTTTCAAGAAAGAAATTTGTTCCATCTATGGCCTGCCTAACTTTAGAGAATGTCCAAAGGAAGACAAGGAATGGCTAAAATATACCCTTTGACCATATCTTACTTTGCAAAGAGGTAGCAGCTAACATGGCGTCTAGTGGCCAAAACATTCTGCCCTATTCCTACTCCAGCCACTATTTCTTTTTTAATGAATTTAGAACTAAAGGTAAAACGTTTTCTTTTGGATGGAGTAGAAAATGTTTAGAACACCTGTCAGGTTTTCTTGTTGTCTGTGCCCAATGTATGGATATTCACCCTTTCTATTTGTCCTGTTTTTATAAATAGAAATCCCTATTTTTTTTTTGGGTTGTCACCAGAAGAATAGAGGGAAAATGTCACAATGTGTAGACACTAGTTCTGGTAACAAGGGATTTCTTCCCTTTAGAGGGATTTCCATTCATTTCCAGTTTTGGCTATTTATCAGGAAGTAAAGGAAATTTCCCCATTGGGACACAGATGGCAGTAAAATAAATAAAATCACGTGGGTTATAACCCTCCCTTACTTTATCTTTAACTGCCTTAGTTCTACTTTAACTGTAAAACATACTCAAATAAGAATAATGAAATATCTTACTATGCCTTTTGATTGCTGGATTGGAGCCTTGGCAGTCTGGGTAGGAGAAAAACTGGCTACAACGAAAACAAATTGCCTGCACATTAAAAAGACAAGACCGAAAATGTTATGTTGCTGGACAGTACCCTGAAACATGTTAAGGTCGTGTCCAAAATTGGAACTGCTAACAAACTGGAATGCTGCAGCTTTGGATAGCCAGATACATTGCCTTAGCTGCCAGAGTAGAATAAAAAAGGTGCACTTTGAAAGGATATCCTGCAGTGTGATGATTAATATGCTGGCACATACCAACATATATAGCTGAAGCACATCATATGTAACCAGATGGAAAAGGTCACCTGGTCAAGAGTGGAAAAAATTTGAGCGGAGTTTTGCTGTCATGCTATCAGAGTAACAGGTACATTGCTAACGTGTAATTAATATTGTGCTGTCCTTACTTCATCACGGTATATGCCACACTATGGGTGTTTCACATGTTTTGTATTGCCAAAAAAACTTGAACATGTATGTCTTCTTTATGCTTTGTCTCAGCCCATGACTTCTGGATTCTAACCGGTTAGGGCCTAGGGTACCAGGCTGCCTTAACAATGTACATATATTTATTTTCCTCAAGTTATTGGAGAAATCTAAGCGGAAAAGTACTTCTCATTTTTTTTTTTTGGCTCTAATTGTGTAAATTTGGCCCAGGTAACATAAGTCATAGTCGGGTAGTAAGCATGTCTTTGAAGTAAGCAATGAAGGAGATGGTCATTGCATAATCTACCTCTTTACAGCTGGAAAAGAACCTAGCGATGTCCAGCCACACTCTTCAGTATGGACGACAAGCCAGAAACTTTGACTACAGTGATTTCCAGAATTCAGAGACACAGCGACTATTGAAGAAGCTCAGTGATATTGATAAAGCCGCTTTGTCAGAGGAAGAGCAGAAAGAGGTAATTGCTCATGGGAAGAAACAATATGGCCTTCCCATCAGGGACATATTTACCACAAAGCATTTGCTTAGGGTGGCATTTTTTTAGGGGGACAGCAGTGCCCCCTGGAAGAAGGAACATATGCAGTATGGGGACCAGGTGGGATCTGAGAGAGGCTACTTGATGGTGTATGCAGAGCCCGACTGTCATTCCTGAGGATGTCCAGAGCTGTAGGTGAGTGTCTTTCTGTCGTGGGGTGGGGGGGGGGGTGAGTGTTGGTCACTGTCAGGCTCTCTACACCGGGGCAGAGGGGCGTTTGATTTTTGTGTTGCCTAGGGCAGCACAAAACCTAAATACACCACTGCTTCCCATTCTAGTCATCCTGTGTGATTACTGGACAAAGCAGTATTTATTTTCCTAGGAATCGAAAAGATTACTTGGGTAAACACTTTATAATTTTCTTTTTTTTTTTTTGTACTCCAGTACAACCCAAATTGTTTCTGAAATGGAAACCATCTACAGCAAGGCCACAGTATGCAACGGTACCAAGTGCATACCTCTGGATCCAGGTAAGACTGCTTGTATTTCCAGATAGAACACTCCTTAGTAGTACAGATTCATCATGATCATTATTTATGTAAATGAATATAGATGGATGCAGCTTTACATTTTGCAAAACAGAAATGTACCATATCTTGCACTGCTCAAATGAGGTGTCAGAATGCACTTTTTTTTTTTTATTTTGTGATTTGATCTTCCAGCAAAAGGTCTATTTATAAAGAAGAGCATGTGTTACTAAACATTCTCTGGTGGAGAATCTTCCAGGTTGATGTGCTTTTAAAAGGCAATGGTTGATTCTCCACCAAATAATGTTTGGTGAATGTCACATTCTCTGCCTTCTAATTGGACCCTTAAGTGTCCGTATAATGTTCAGAATGCTTGTGGGCTATTCAGGATCCCCAAGGAGGGAGGGGAAGTAATATTTACCTCAACCTTTTTATAGATGACCTTGTGTCAAGTTATTTTAAAGAACAGCAAGCACAGAATGAACTGACACAGTTCAGCCTGATCATTCTCCTTGTACCCCATTGGCTTCTAATAGAAAACACCTGATGTAATTCCCTGAGGTGGTGAGTGGTCAATGCATTGGCTAGTAGTGTCCTCCCAGCACGGTTTCCCAGAGAAAACATAGAGAAAATTAAGCTGGCAGCTCGATCTTCTACAATAAATGAGTTTACTAATCCAGGTGTGGTACAAAATATTACAGGGCTTACGTGTTTCGGTAAGCCTCTGTCATAGCCATCAAATGATTAGGGCTAAATGCCAAAATGCATAAGTCTTGTATTATTTTGTACCACACTTGGATTAATAAACTCATTTATTGCAGAAGATGGGGCTGCCGGCTTCCTTAGATCTACACTCCTTTTACACCATTGACTGATTTCTGTGTCACATTTTTCCCCATTGCTGCTGCAATATTATATAATTGTATGGAGCAGAGTTGGCAAGAATCCTGTCAAGAATGACAGGTTTGGAAAGCAACATATTTTCAGCTATACAGCCCCTTATTATCATATGATGGGGATATTTCTATTCATTGTTCTAGCTAGTACCCACCATCAAGAAATTGTGACATGCCTTCCTAGGTGTGCAAGAAAGAAGCTAGTAATCCTAGTGTTACTGTTGTTGTTTGTTGGTTTTTTTTTTTTTCCTTTCACATACGATAATTGTGACTGTTGTACAGACATTAAATTTTACAATTATTAAATATAATGAATTTTATTTTAAAATTAATCTACCTTTTCTGTCCCAAGATATAACTGCACTCCTTGCTCAGTCACGTGAATATGACGAACTCTTATGGGCATGGAAAGGTTGGCGAGATTCTTCTGGCAAAAAAATGCGCAACCATTACAAGAGATACGTAGAGCTGGGTAACAAGGCAGCAACACTCAATGGTAAGAGTGATCCTATCTCTGACTGTCTCTTTGTACTCTCTCATGCGTAGTTTCTCCAACAGTTAAACTGCTTAACCTTCTACATACCTTTCCTTTTAAGTTATTTCTTTATACGTCATTCCACCATTTTGAAATGTAATTGCATAACTTTTTTACATTTTGTAGCACCTAGCAGGGATAATCTACTACTTCTCTGCATACATACATATCAATGTTTCACTTATTTCCTTATCGGTTCTACCAGGACATGCAGACAACGGTGCATACTGGAGGTCATGGTATGAAACACCAACATTGGAAAGTGATGTTGAGAGACTTTATCATGAGCTACAGCCTCTTTATCTAAACCTGCATGCTTATGTACGACGAGCCCTCTACAAGAAATATGGAGACCAGAAAATAAACCTTAAAGGACCCATCCCTGCCCATCTACTTGGTGAGATACCTGTTGATTTTACTTGGATTTCCTGTATAACCATAATATACTGTATATGCTTCACAGAGTACAAACAATTAAGATTGGTCTCTAAATAGTAGCGCTTACAGTCTTCCCTTACTTTCCTTCTAACATACTCTAGCACCCAGGGGCAGACTGACAACTCATGGGGCCCCCGGGCAATAGGGGATCATGGGGCCCGTGTCCTTGCCCAAACTTAAAAAAGCCTATGAAAAAGGTACCAGGGGAATCTCATGGGGCCCCCTACAGACCTTGGGCAGTGGCCAAATTTCCAAATGGTCAGTCCGTCCCTGCTAGCACCACGCTGTGGTGCTAAACAGTCTGTTGGTATGTTTGTGGGTTGTGGGACAAAGGCACCTGAAGGAAACCGTGCAAATATGGGAAGAACATATGAACCAAGTGTATCCCTAGAGGGATGCGAACCAGACAAACAGCTGCATGATGAGTTCCAACTAAGTAGCTATCAGACTGCCCTAAGGGTTTACCCTTTGTGTGATGCACACACAGATCTACTTTTTACAAGGGTAGCTGCTCCTTCCAGAAACCTGCTCTATGAAAATGTAAATACTTTTTCATAAGCTGAAACGTTTGTCAAAATTATGTTCCTGGCATTTAGCAACTCACAAATTACTGATTCGTAGAAATGTGCGGTTCTTTTAGTTCCGAATCAAAATTTGAATGAAATTTTCGTTATTCGGAGATTTGGATGTATCCGAATTTCTAAATTACAATAAAAACTAATTTAAATCCGAAACAACAAAACAATATTTCATTCGAAAACAAATTCAAAATATAAACATATTGCTAACTATTGCTGATTTCCTTCAAAGACTATGTTTATTATAGTAATAGAATATAGAAAAAATAGAAGAATAGAAAAGGATAGGATAGAAAATGAAGGAAAAGAATAAAATAGAATAGATTAGAATAGAATAAAATAAAACCAAATATAGCGGATTCCAAAATTAAAATTTTGAATAGAGTGTACAAGAATACACTAGAAAAGAATACAGTAAAACAGAATAGAATACAATTAGAATAGAACATAAAGTAATAGGATAAAGAATAGAAAAAAATGGAATATAAAAGAACGGAATAGGATAGAGTAAAATAGAATATAGCTGTCTTCCGAAATTCGAATTTTGAAAAGAATAGAATATTACAGAATATAATCGAGTAAAAGATTAGAAAATAGAAAAGAATAAAAATGAGAAAAATAGAATTGAATAGAAAAAAAATAGAATAGATTAGAACAGAATGTAATAAAATAGAATATAACAGTCTTCTGAAATTCAAATAGAATCTAGCTATGCTTCACAAGGAATTCGGATCAATTTGATATTTTTTTTTTTTATACAAACTTGATTCAAATACTTTGAATCCATTAGAAAAATTTGAATCTGGTCAAAATGAATAAACTAAAAAATAATTATGAATGCAGCAGAACAGCATTAGTAACTTAACAAATCAATCCGAAACAAACTATTCCATTCTGCACGTCTACCGATTTCTTAAGGAATGGGAAGTTGTCATTTATAGTAGGCTCCGCTTTTAAAACCGTTACCTGAATTCAAACATAGACTGCATTAATGTAGTATTAGAAAGATCATTTCTGTCCTATTTTTCTTCAGTTTAAGCCGAATTGGGGAGGGTGATGTCAAGCCCCATCTCTAGAACGAGACTTTACCCCTGTAAAGTGGTTAGGCAGTTTAGTGCAACCCATAATGTTCTGAGATGAGGAACACCTATCGTTTGTCTGTCTTACAACCTAGTCAACCTAGTTGCCATGGTAAAGCCAAACAAGGTTTTTACAAAGGTCTTAAGAAGGTGCCTAACCTCATGAAATGATCAACTTCAACAGCAGTTTACATTTATTTAGATTAGGATTTGCATTGCTGATCTACTATTTACAAACGGTAGATGTGTCCACAACTAATGATTTTGCTTTTCTTTTTTTCTATTAGGTAACATGTGGGCCCAGTCATGGTCGAATATATATGATCTTGTCGTTCCATATCCTAATGCAGCACAAGTGGATGCTACACCTGCAATGGTGGCTCAGGTTAGTACCTGGCATACCTACAATAGAATTAATTCTGCCCAGAACTGCAGTAAATGCCAATTATTACACACAGGCCACATTATTTGAGTCAGTAGCTTGTTAGACTATCATACCACCATGGCTGTTTTCTGAAATAATGTATTCAAGCTGTGGTTCCTGACTGCACATGGTAATGACTTTGTTCCTCCCACAACTTCTAAATGCAAGTCTGTGGATCAAGTCTGTATTTACTGAAAACAAAGCTAAACTAAGCTTCTTTTTTCCCCTCAAATTTCCAGAAATACAGGTACTTTTTTTTTTTTTCTATAGAAAAATGTCACAGATGCTATCCTATGTGACAAAGCAGATGTCATTTTCAGTGATGTCTTTATTTTTTTTTCCCCACAGAATTGGACCCCAAAAAGAATGTTTGAAGAATCGGACAACTTCTTTACCTCTCTAGGACTCCTTCCTATGCCTCCAGAATTCTGGGAAAAATCCATGATTGAGAAACCTGTTGGCAGAGATGTGGTTTGTCATGCATCCGCTTGGGATTTCTACAACAGAAAAGATTTCAGGTATGGTTATGGGACGCCTCAATTAGGTTAACTAATCTATTGTAAACTACTATTTTATTTTTATTACTAGGTGGTGCATATTCAATTTGTGACATGCCTGTATACATGCAGTAACATTTTACACCCATTAGCAGCCCCGTAGTGTCCACCTATGAAGACCAATAGCATTTATTAAAAAGAAAATACTTTTAAATCCCTGTCATTTGTGGGGTTATGTTGTATTTATTTGCTTAATTTATTTTTTTTGATCTGTGTGTGGTGTTCATTCATTTTTTACTGTCCCTATACAAGTTTTAATGTTTTATAGTGGGGGGGAGGAGTGCAGGTGACAGTGTGCAAGCAGCATGTGACAGAGTGACAAAGGGAATTTATCACACATTACAAGAATAAAAAAAGAAAATGCAGAGGGGGGGGGGGGGGGGGGGGGGGAGGTTATATTCGTCTGAACAAATGTTTACCTTTCAATTAGTGTTGAGTTATATAGTTATGATTTTTATTCTATTGATTACATCATTGTACCAACTTAAATAGACAAAATAACATAAAACATGTGGATCAAAACTGCAACATGTCACAGCTTTAAATAAAGAGGTAACGGAAAACCATGCTAACGTTCGAATAAAAAAATCACAAGCAAAATTTAAAAAAAAAATGGGGTGGTAACACTACGTAACCCTAGCCTCTTGTTTTTACTGTGCAGACTTTCATGGACCTGATATACTCTTGTCTTGTAATCTTCAGCTACTCACCTAGAAATTTAATGTCTGCGAAATTCAGTAAATGGAATTGTTCTGCTCTTCAGATACCAGAAACATTTTCTATCAATAATACTTTTGTATTTTATTGGGTGATTAGTGAGAGCAATATTTTTGTTTCCAAGCTGTTGAAATGGGGCAAAGTGCACAAAAAAAGATGCCACCAAGCTGATTTCCATTCTTGTGGTGTTTTGATGAATGGTACAGGATTTCCATTAGTTATAGTATGGGATAATGTTTTATCATTTTTGTGATCATGGGCTTTGCATTAATTGGATCATCACACTTTATGATGTGCTCATTAGTAATGAAGATTGTTTTATGAGGCATCTGATGTTTGTGGTCATATAAAACTAACTATTGATTAATGTGGACTTTTGCAATGAGAGCCAGGATATGAGATTAATCGTGTCTTATCTGGGAGGGATTCACCCTCTCTATTTGTCTTCGAGACCATTGTTACTAGAACAGAAAGTGATGGTAAATCTAACAGTTTACTGATGTCACCCAAACAGGGTAGAAGGGAACTCCTTCCAATGAGAAAATCAGTTTAAAAGAGAAGTTCAGGATTACAAAAAACAAATATTTATACTTGCCTGCGTGGATGCAGAATTAGTATGATGCTGCATATGACCCCTGCAGCCTTTAAGACTGAGAACTGGGAGGTCAAAGACAGCTGATCTCCCAGTTGTTAGTCTTTAGTGAGCAGAGAGAGTCTCCAGCTCTTTGCTCTGCCTATCCAGCGCACACTCAAGCGCCAGGCTGTGGAGGGAGGAAAGGGAGGTGTGCTGAGAGGCTGAGCCAACTGCTGGTCCAGGCATCTGGGTGGATCCCAACATTAAGGTCAGGATCTCTCCAGAGTCTGGGCTGGCTCAGTGACGTCAGCTGAATATGGGTTACAGGAGTGCAGAACAATGTGCACATTTGTGATCTCTAGGAGAAGTAATGCCAACTAAGGCGATTTTTTTTTTTTTTTTCTCTTGCTGCTTGTCATGTCTCTAGGACAGGAAATGGAGGGATATCTCCTGAAAGGGACACAGCAAATAACAAACCTCAGAGGTCTTTTAACCATTCCCTACTCCATAACGAATGATGTTTTGGCTTTAGATATACTTTAAAATAGTTGGCAGGTTCTCTTTACTCTTATCACTTAACATCAATCTGAGTTGGCATAGCACCAAAAAAAAAACCCATGATTTTAAATAAAACAAATGTACTAGGTTCACAAGCAAGTATCTCTGGTCTGTTTTCATTTTCGAAATTGGCCAAATACACTTATGAAACAAACCTCCAGCCAAAATTGTAATTTTAAATTCTGGATAGAGTGTAGTAGAGTTTTTTTTTTTTTTTTTCTTTCAATTGAGAGATTTTCCATCGCTTCCCATCCCTGTGACAAAGGGGCAGAGTGATTGTAACTGGGGTGGGGAGGCCCAGACAGCAATACAATGTTGTGAAAAAAAAAAAAAATCAAATTCTTTTGCTTTCTGCTAAAAATGTGTGTCTGTGTCCAGATTGGAGAAAGAGCCCATCACTTCCTGTCCTGATAGGGGAAATCTCCAACATTGACGCAAATGCCAATAAAACCCGGCAGAGGTCCTAATCCTTCCTGCTCTATCCAAAATCAAATAAAAAGTTGTGGCTGGAGTTGTGCTTTCATGTGTTTTTTACCCTCATGTTAATGTTTGTTAAACGTGGTCACCATAGAGAATGATGAATACGCTGTTTGAGAACAGGGTGAGTTATGGTTAAAAAAAACACAAAATAATGTATTTTGGGAACCAAGGTGTGCTTGTGGAGAGTTTTAAATAATAAATACTAAATCTTTAAATGTTCTCCTTTCAGAATCAAGCAATGCACAGTAGTCACCATGGATGACCTTATCACAGTCCATCATGAAATGGGCCATGTTCAGTACTTCTTGCAGTACAAAGATCAACCAGTTTCATTCAGAGAAGGAGCCAACCCTGGCTTTCATGAGGCTATTGGAGATGTATTGGCCCTGTCTGTATCCACTCCTAAGCATCTCAACAGTATTGGGCTCTTGGACAAAGTTGAGGACAATCCAGGTATGACTTTTGGAACCTTCAGTTTTGTCCTGTTTTATAAGGTATTTGATAAGATATAATGTATATCAAAATGTAGAATAATTATTTGTAAAAGGAAAACAAAGAGGGAAAAAAAATATTTCCTATATATTTTCAAGAATTGAAATTTACAGTACCCTTTTAGAGATTGCTTCAAAGAAAACTAAGCTTTTTAGCTCCACAGATACAAAAAGGATATTTAAAAGGGATATTTAAAAAGGATATTACATTTACCGTGCCAGAATTTAGTTGTTTGTAGCAGAACATACAATGCTTCATACTTTGTAACTTTGTATGACCCATACTAGAAAGTGAAATCAACTATCTTTTGAGTATTGCACTGGATAAAATAGCATTCCTACCCTTTGGATACTTGATGGACCAGTGGCGCTGGAAAGTGTTTGATGGAAGAATTCCAGATACTGAATATAACCAGCAGTGGTGGAATCTCAGGTATAATGTTATACCCTTTGTTCTTTTTTAGCATTTTCAAACAGCAATAATTTACAGATCAACAATAAAGCTGTGCTTTGTTTTAAACTTTTATAAAATTTTGGATATATTTTTGCTGTCTCTAATCCTTCTCAATGACATAGATAGGTGAAGGAGAAATCTAAAGGTGGTCATCAGAACAGGAGCAAGAGGTAATCTCACAAAAGGAGATACCATTACCAGTGGTAGCCGCCAAAGCTGAGGTTTCACTTCACTTAGGCTACATTCACACATAAAGCATCGAGTTTTCAAGCATTTTCCAAGTGTATTTTTTTAAGCATTTTTTGGAGCAGAATTGTATGTTTTCGCAGCTTTTGTCAGCTTGACAAAAGCTTATGTTGCCCTTATTAGGCTTTTCTGTTTGAAGTCTTTGGGGACAAAAAATGCTCAATTCTGCTCTGAAAGTAACTAATGCACTTTTTTGAGTGACAGGCATTTTGCTAGAAGCGACAGAACACTCAGATGTAAACAAGGACTACTGAAAACAATAGGTTTTTGCTTGTTGAGCATTTTGTAGCTTGTACCTCGAAGCTCAAAAATGCTCAAGTGTGAACGGGGCCTCAAAATTTTATGTCTTTTCTTCAGCAAAGGAAGTGGCAAAAAACTGATGGAGGTTGTGACCCTCTAACACTATGCCCAAATTGACTTGATGTGCTTGTAAACCCTTACCTATACCCAGTGAAGTGACTGGCCTCAGGTGATACACAGAGATGAAACAAATCCTCCTACATAAATTGTACCTGTTTATCGACCGCCATCTGTCCCCTACATCCATTCAAAGTGCAGAAGTTACACACAATCTCACAGCTCTGAAAAACAGGGGGTGAGGAGCTGAAGTTACATCAGTGAGGAGAGCTCAGGTAGCTAATTGGAGGGAAGGGACACCCCCCTCCCCCACACAGGAACACAGCTGAGGCTGTCAGACACAGGCTGTGCCCTCCCTGTCACCGGTTTTCTCTTGGTGTCAGGAAAACTCATCAGAAGTGACTCCTGCTGATAGCAGAGGAATGAGGCAGCAGACAGAAATTACACTTAGTGTTCTGGATTAAGGCAAGTACAATCTATAGAGGGATATGCTTTGTTCATGTTCCAGCTGAAATAAAAAGTCAGCTACAAAAACTGTAGCTGCTGACTTTTAAAATACAGCCACTTACCTGTCCCTTGGTCCAGTGGTGTCCTCACCACCACTGGTTTCACCGGCAATCTTCTCTCCCTGGCGCCAGCATCTATAGTGTGACAACTTGTGCGGCATCACAGCTGGGTACCCACTGTGCATGCGCGAGAAGCGCTGCGCTTTGTGAATGGCTCGTCACGTGTCTCAGAAGACTACGGGAAGGGAGGACAACTTCCACTTCTGATTGCCTAGGCGATCGTAGCGGAAGTGGGTATTTGTCACAATGACACTCTGCATAGAAAGTGTATATCAAGCCGATAAAATTGAAGGATTAGTGCCCCGTCTGGATTTTCTGCTTTCTTTCCAACTTCAATGCATATAAAACTCCATGCTGTGGGAAAAAAAAAAACTTTCTAATAGCTGCCTGGTTACTAACCCACAAAGGTTGCAATCAATAATGAAATCAGATTGGTGTGGCAGTCAATACTAATTAAACACTTCTTAAAAGGATCATGTTATGTGTACTATTACTCCATAAAGTGCAAATTACTCCATAAAAAATAATACTCAATACTTGTATAACACTTCCCCAATCTAAAGTGCTTATCTACTCAATATAAATGTGCATATGCGCATTGATATACCAGTGCTCTGTGTACTGTAAATGTGAAATCGTATGCAGGGAATGCTGATCCCCTGCAGATCAGCAAACTCTACTCAAAAAGCAATAATCCTATAGAAACAATGAATCCTGTACTAAAAAAAGTAAAAGTAAATAAATGTCCAGTAAAAGATAAAAAGTTCAAATATCACAATTATCCACTTGTGAACAAAAATTTACTTTTGTGCAAAAAATTATATTCTTCAGTGCTGAATCCACTCTGTGCTCTCCTCCAATTGTACCACACTCATTGAGACTTTCTGACCCTTATAGAAGGTCTGCAGTGCTTTTAAACATGGGTACTCTCAGCTCCCTTTGTCCCAACAGTCTGTTTTGTCGTTATTCCCGTTATTATGCTCCGAGAAAGCATGCATGTGAGGGAGATATAAACCACAGGCAGTCTCCAATAGCGTAATATTCTATTTATTCAAAACTTAAAACCACATAAAATCCACATAACAAAATGTGGATGCTTGCTTCTATACAAGCTGAAAGTGAATAGCTAATTCCTATCAGCATCTGCATACACCAAAAGTTCGTAAGCAGAAATGACACAATGAGCCCCTGCCAACGTGTTTCCTCACTCTGACATAATTTCTTTATCACTTGAAAACACTTTTAAAAGACAAGAAGATATGCTTGTTCCTTAGCCACAGTCCTAAATAAAGACTTTAAAAATAAAATGCAACAGTGAAGCAGACACGTCCAACAGGGTTTCTGGCCTTGCCCTACAAAAAACAAAAAATGCCCTGCCTCGTAAAATATTTGGAGCAGGACAGGAAGTGACACAAAATCTTTCAAATGGTGACGTGGTTAGCAACAAAATGGTTTCTAACCATTCCTAAATTACAATACAAAATAAAAAGTGGCAAAGCCTACCAACAGACCTCAAATGCAGGCTGAATGTGAGTTGCACTGCCCTGCCAATGGAAAGTGCCAGGCCAGACACTATTTTGCTCCACAGTAGCATGCAGGCAATGCGTTAGGCTCAGGCAGATGACAGGTCTTGAATTCATCTATATGACTCCAGAACTGTGGCTACAGTAAAAAAAAAAAAAAAAAAAAAATCTCCATTGAGGATCAAAAATTGCCAATGACATAGGCCTGGAAAGTGCAACGCAGGCCCCGACTCAATCGGATGTCTGTATAGTTTGTCATTTTGAATGTAGAAAAAGAACATTTTGTTTTGTTTTTTTTTTTTTGTTTTTTTTTTTTTGTAAACGTACAGTGACTTTAGAAGCTAAAGCCCAGGAAAGAAGCTAAATGCTAAGCAGACGTACTCTACACATATGTAAACTGTCTCCCACACCAAAGGGTTTGGAATTCTGTTAAGCCAGCAACCTTGTAAACCCAATTAGTTGGTACTCCTATATCATTTTAGATTTCAGGCTTACATATTTAAAATTTTTTCTGATTTAAAGTTTTTACCTCTGTTATCCTAGATTGAAATATCAAGGACTGTGTTCTCCAGTCTTGAGGTCGGAAGATGATTTTGACCCTGGCGCTAAATTCCACATTCCGGCTAATGTCCCATACATCAGGTAACAGACGTTCAGCTGGAGTGGTTTTACATTATAGAGAATCTCCTTTTTAGTTCTTGAATCCAGGGATTTTATTTGACTTTAGAGTGTTATGGTTTCTTTTTAAGATACCTTTTAGAGCTTTGGAATTAGTGTTGAGATTTATGGTCTACTGAAGACTTACAAGAACCAAGTTGGTCAGCCTAGTTTTATGCTGCACAATGGGTAATCTGTAAGAGGAGTTTTCTGTGTTAAATGGCCAGCATGAAAAAACAGCTAGGTTTTCTTCTGCGATCTGTATAAAAATGACAAGAAAAAAAAAACTACAGCAGAACCTGCTGAGTGATAATATATAGCAGGCTGTTCAGATTACCATATCCATATCCTTCTTCTCTGGTACAATACATTTTATTGGAAAATAAAGGACATGACAGAGTAAACACTCAAAAAACATGTAAATTGCTCACAGGGGACCAGGCAGTCAAACAGACAATCATAAAAGTACTACATTACTTTTAGGTTGAACAAGGTATATAATCAACTGCATCCAGAAGCGAGTGGCAGAAGTGGCAATGAATATCTGGGCACAAAAACCCAGGACTTGATGATAAAAAAAAAAAGCCTGGGATTGGGCAATGCTGGTGTGTCTGTGTCTATCATCCTTTATGGAAGGGCACATAAAAGACTGTGAACAAGAGGCCATAGACCCTTGACCAGAAACCCACCAGATACATATCCTTCTCAAAACATTAATGTATCATACAATACATGGTTATGCAGCAGCTGACTAATTCTAAACATCTGCATTATTTGACATTGTCTGAAATAATGATCCAGTTTAGCAGTCATTCAGAATAGGTTTTGCAATGCCCATGCATATACCAGTATGAGCTCCCAACTCCATGAAGTTTTCAATTATTGGTTTAGAGATTTTACAAAGAAGGCACAAAAACACTAGGCTGGTGTGCAATAGCAGCACACCTTTACAAATTAATTTATAGAAGTTGCCATTATAAGCTTTTTGGAGATTACAAAAAAAAGGATCATAGAGTTGACCATTTTAACTATTTAACACTTTTGGCCTACAAGAAACAAACATCACTGTTTCCATAAATTGCTGCTCTTCATAGAGTAATATGGGTGTCTTTTCCGGTTTTAAGGTATTTTATCAGCTTCGTCATCCAGTTCCAGTTTCATGAGGCTTTATGTGCAGCAGCCAAACAGACTGGATCCCTCCACAGCTGTGATATTTATAGATCCACAGAGGCTGGAAAATTACTTGGGTAAGTAGTGAGATAAACTTTGTGTTTGGGTCCACCCCTATATTTCTGTAATTTTGCTGCATTCATATGGTGTTGTTTTAATAGTACTTATGCGGGTCCCAACTCATTCCATTCACAGCCATTCTCTGTGGATGGGGGGAGGAAATGGGGGTTTTGGAATAAATTGCTCTGCTCTCTGCAGGAGGAACTGATGGTTAAGACCTTAGTAAAGCTGGCCATAGATGAATTTTTTTTTTTTTTTTTTCCGATCAGCCATTGGACTAATCAAAAATAGAAAAAAAATGGATTCCTCTATTCACACGAGAGGTAGAAGAGAGACACCTCCTCACCAAGACATAGTATTCTGACATCAGGAATACTCTGATCAGTGGCTGAAGCCCATTTGCTGCAGACTCTGAGAACAATTTTCCAAGATTCATGTTTGTCAGAATTTGAGAATTGGATTCCACTTGTGAGGACAATCCTGTAGAACCTTAAATTTCCCATATATCTGGGACACCATGTGAACACATTTTAATGTACAGTGGTAATGAATTGTTGACGAGAGAGTCAATTTTATATACAGTATATAAACATTCAGCTTACATGTTAACTCAGTACGACTTGCAAAACTGATGTTTAACATGTTGAGTTTCTCAAGCCGTGAATCTTCCCTAGCTGCCCATCAATTGTAATGGTACTAATATATGTCTTCATAGCCTTCAGTATTCCAGGCAACTTAGGTTGTTTTCTGTGTTTGACTGTAAACTGGAAAACTGTTCCACTTCCAGAGTTTTTGATCAACTGTCCCCTCCTCCTTATGTTGACATGTGGTCTAGAAATCACTGGTAGACTGCCTAAGGTTTGTCAAATTTTTCTACATATATCAATGTTCCTTCATCTACAGAGATGCCATGAAGTTGGGTTACAGCAAGCCTTGGCCTGATGTGATGAAAGTTATTACCGGACAGAGAAATATGTCTGCTCATGCCCTCCTAAAATACTTTGAGCCTTTGACCACCTGGCTAATCGAGCAAAATACCAAAAATGGTGAAACCCTTGGCTGGCCAGAATACGGCTGGAGCCCAGGTAGGTATTAGCCTTAGTGTTCTAAACGCCTGGCTCAATCTTTTTAAACTGGGTTTCCAGGCAAAAACATTAATTTTGTTTTGAAGTGAATAAACGAGGCCATATCTACTTATTGCAGTTCCACGTCAACAACATTTGGACCTTTGCTTCGTTGTTTATATGCTTGGCTGACTAAGGTTACACAACCTAGATAAGTTGATTCTCAGAAAGGAGTGGTTACATTTTATTCTCACTCCGATACCAGAGTTCATAAACAAGTGGCCTTTCATAAACAAGTAGCACAGACAGGAATTCTATTCTTCCAGCTCCTGGTCTTGTTAAATCTGGAAACTGTGGAGTGGGGGGAGGGGGGTGTCCCTTGGTGGTGTTTCATCACGATTAATAAGGTATTTCTGCTTTAAAGGAAACCTGGATTTAGAGAAATATGTAGGCTGTCATTATTGACCTCTCATTCAAAGACCTCATGCACACAGGATGTTATAAAAACACCAGTAGCATTAACTGTAGAAAGCTGCGTTAAAGAGTTTTGGCATGCAAGTTTTGCAGAGTTAGCATTTTTCAGCCTTTTTTTTTTTTTTTTTTTTTTTTTTTTTTATAGCAAAAAATACCCTTCTGCTATTTTTCACTCCCACTTTCCAACAATGCATTCCTGAATAGTTTATTGTGTAGTTTTTCCTTGTCATTTTGAAAGTTGTTTCGTCTGCGGGGAAGAAAAATATGCACTTGACCATGCTAACTGCATATGTGAGCTACACTCAGATGAAAACATTTTCATGTTTCATCTGTGTGGAGCCACACAGCACAGATCAGACAATGAAAGCAAAAGCAACTAAGCACACTGAAATGAAAATTGCCAATGTTTAATGCTCAAATATGCACCTAGCTGCGTTTTTGCTGCGTTTTGCATCGTTAGAGCATTTTTACAGCTGAAAACCTCATCATCAAGCATGGTAGTTCTGGGTTTATGTCCAATCTGAAAACAGCCCTGCCAAAAAATGCTGATCAAAGTCTGTCTGCATAGACGCATTGGATAACATGCTGGGGAGTTTAGTGGCGATAGAAGAAAACAGCCTAATGCCAAAAACAGCTGCTGTAAAAACACCCAGTGTGCATGAGGCCTAAAAATGCCAGTTGCTTAGTTATCGTACTCCAGTGACTTCAACACTTGCATCACCAAGCTGGAATGCATATGCATATCAGAAGTCCTGAATGAACTAATGTAGACTAAGGTGGATATGTTGTAGGTGTATGTTGTGCATGTAAATGCACAATATTTTCACACCATAGTGGTGTGGCTATCTCTAGCAATATTTGTTAAAATGTTAGTAGTAGGCCAGAATCAGCCATGCAACTACCATTTTCAAACAGGTTATGGTAGCCTACATATTTGTATCTATCTTTTTAAGGCTTTAAAAATTGTGAAACGATTTGAGATATAGGAATTCAATGGCATTTATGTATACATTTTTCTCCTTTTTTTTAGTTGCCAATGATGTCACAGTAGTACCAATTCAACCACCATCAAAAGTTGACTTCTTAGGAATGGACTTGGACAGAGGGCAAGCATCAGCAGGAGCCTGGGTCCTCTTGGCTCTTGGAATAGTTCTTGTCATCGCCACCATTTTCTTAGGTGTCAAAATCTCAAAAGTAAAACGTAGGGCAAAGAAATCCACATCTGAACTGGAGTTGAAATAACGAAGCACCACCACCATCCAGAAAGGGGGGCCTCTGTAAAAAGACGATTTCCAGCATTCCAAGACTTGGGGACACTAAGTGTGCAATTATCTCAAATCTTGTTGACTATGCAAAGAAACTTCATCCTTGGAGGAAAAATCCATTAGCTCCTTCAAAGCCAAATAAAGGATGAATTTTTACACAGGTGCTTAAGGGAAGGGAGGTTTGGGAAATGGGAAAGATTTTAAATTGTTATTGGAATAATTGTGTCAGATTTTTCTCCAGCAATGGGAGCAATAAATATTGTAAGTGAAAACTTTAAAGCTTTGCCAGTCTCCATTATGTGGACAAACAATTGTGCAATACGTGCACACCATTCCCTTTCAAAGTGGATTCTGAAGGAGTATTACAAGTGACCATGCTATTTGTTTTATTTTCAGTGGGGTTACCAAACAGGAGGTTTAGATATGTGTAAGAAAATCTCACTCACAAAATCTACTTTATCTTTAGAGTGGAACTTTACCCATAACTTGATTTAAAAATATGTCTTTAGCAAGGCACATACAGTACATCCCACATTAGTAATTATGCTACCAAAATTAGTGTGTGCTGTAAATTGCCACCAGCATTGCTCCTGTTTCTGCTTGCTGGAGGCTGACATTTTGCTGAAGCCCAGAGCCCCTGAGCAGCAGTAAATCTTTAGGCTGCCAGATTGGCCTCTAGTGGCTCTGATTTTTGGCACAGTACCAGAAGAGAGAGGAACTGAGCATGCACAGAACAGGACAAGACAGTGCATTACTGGATTTTAAACCGTATAGGGACTTATTTTTAATTTTTTACATGGTTATACCTGCAAAAGGAGCCAGCCTAAAGTAATCTAGCAGGACTTCATTTTCTGACTAAAGTTCCACTTTTAGTGGAACACCAGATACATTGAAAAAGAGCAGGAAAGTGCTACAACTTTGGCTTCTTTTTTTATCTTTGTCTCATTGTCTAGATCTTTCTTACTTTGTGTGGGCAGCATGACAGGAGCAGAGGGAAAATGTCCTTAATGTGCACACAGCTATAAAACCCATCTAAGTGAAATTCTCTTATCTCTTGGACATGAGCATAAAAACAGTCTGGGGAAAATGGCAATGAGACAGATAAAAGCTGTGAGCAATTTATTTTGTAGCGCCGTCAATTTAAGCAGCGTTTTACATTTATATTGTACATTCACATCAGTCCCTAACCATCAAGGAGCATTCAATCTAAGGTGCCTAACTTACATTCATACATACACATACTAGGGCCAATTAACATACCAGCCTGGTTAAACTGGAGTACCCAGAGGAAAACACAGGCTCAGGGAGAACATGCAAACTCTGTCCAGGTAGTGCAGTGGTTGGGATTCGAAACCAATGATCCTAGTGCTGCCAGGCGGAAGTGTTAGCCACTGTGCACAATTTCTACTAAAACAGACATATTTGGTAGCCATTAATTTCCACACAGTCTTAACTGTTGCAAGTGATGTCTGAAACGGTTACAGTGGTAGGAGATATCGAGCGAGCGGTGTATAGCCACAGTCACAAACATCTGCTAAGTTTTTCAGTTAATCGCATCATTCCTTCATAAACTTTTTGTACATGATCCTAGCCTGAGGGAAAATGAAACCCATCTGGCCTGACAGCTGTAATGGTGCAAACTTTGAAAATGATGGAGTGCCCTGTCTGTTGCTGGGCCATTCAAGACTGTTCTTACTGTAATAAAAGAAATGTCACTGACATTTAATTGGGTCAGGGGTACTGTTCAGTGCCAAGCCTTATTATGAACACAGTAGGAGCAAGTAGCCAACAATCCCAACGATCTGTAATGATGAGCAGACAGCTGCTAGCTCTGACACTAAATCCCAGCCTGCCGTATAAAACACATGCTCCTGCTAAATGAGCAAATCAATTATTCACACAACATGCCAAAAATGTGTTGCTGTCCTAACTTTCTTTACTTTTTTTGCACTATATGAACAATTCAGCAAGCTCTGGAGAAGATTGACTGAGGATTCTCTTAGACAGAAGAGAGGATCTCTAATTTGCCAAATTAAGGACCGCTCACAAAACTATAGGTCTATGGCCAACCAGATTAAGAGGTATCAGTCACCTGGACTGGACTTTCCAGGTGGAATTACTGTTATTTCCATGTGAGAAGGCTTAGGCAAGCAATCCAATATTGATTAAAATGAGCATGCAAATTTGTCATTGTGGTGCCATAGAATTTTTTGTTGTGGCTGAATTTTTCTACATCCATTGCTGAACCTACACAAGGGACCACTGGGATCAGTTTTATACTAGAACTAGGTCAGATGGGTACTAGAATCCTCCTCAATGTCATGTAAATGTGTGGACTTGGCTCATGTCTATCTAGATGCAAATTATTACACAGCAGTGGTGTAAATAGGACCTTCAGGGTCACAGTGCAAAAAACCATGAAGGGCTCCCCTGGCCATGGCCCTTCCCTCAGAGCCTGGTGGCACAATTGTGACCTTTGTGACCCAGGTAGTTCTGCCACTACAGAGAGAACCAGGCATTCCATGGCTGCGGGAAAAAAATGGAGAGATGGGTTCCTCTTTTTGCTTGGACAGCAGTTGAATAGGTGGAAAGAGAATTGGGGTTCAAAAGTCTAGTATTGTGCAAGTCCAAAAATTGGTATTCTGCAGGGGCCCTTTGTACACTCTCAGTGCTGCCTTCCTATTTAGTTATCCTTACTAGCTAGACATCTCATATCAATGGGTAGTCTTACCAGAGGACACTTTCACCAGTTTAAATTAAGGGAAACCTCTCAATGTTCTAAAATTAGAAATGTTTTTTACAAATACAGCATATGAGCCAGGAGCTTACTTATGGGTACATGTCAACGCACATCCCCTTTTTCTTGTATTCATTTACGGTGAATTACTTAGGATTAGCACTCGCTTACCAGTTCTCTTTGTTTAGAAATAGTTTGTAGCAATTTTTATAAACCTGCCACAAAAACAACGTGCAAAAAACTCAATCTGTTAATTACACATACATTTATTGGGGTGCAAGCTGAATTGCTAATGCCTAATAAACACGATGAGGAAATCGGGCAAAAAATACTGCTTTTGAAGCTGTCGTATGATAATTTGATCGTTAGTACACTGCTTTTGAAAGCCGATCACAACAGTTCATGTAAAATTATCCGAAGGAAGAAGCACACAAATTTTTCTCATACGATACCAGAACAAACTTTTTTTTTTTTTTTTTTTAAATCTTTACAGTATTCGTCCGAAAAAAATTGGAAGACCAAAACCATGCATGCTCGTAAATTAAAAATACATTAC